CCTTGCGAGATCACGACAAGTAAAACCATGCTGGTCGTTGCGTCAGACCTTGTGGCGTCCTCTATAGCGATCACTACCTTTGTGTGGTCAAGGTACGAGTACTAGCATGCCGGGTGGTTTCAGTAGACCTTCTTCCTTTGCAAGACCGTGCTTAAATGACACCATGTTACTCCTGTATTGTTCACTACCCTGCCCAACAATAGGCTGGGTGGTAGCATAAAACCTCCCGACTCCTGATGTATTGGTGTGTGTACCTTTGAATGGTCATCGTACCAGACACATCACGCCTGGTCGTTGTATTTGGCCTCCCTCCTCCTCTTGCAGTGTTCACTTCCCTTGTGTGATGATTCGTTCAGTAACCTCGTGACTGGTGGTTGCATCAAGTCTCCCGACTCCTTTTGTACCCTTTTGTGGTCATGGTGCGGGTAACATTCTGCTTGGTGGTTCATCAGTGTTGGTAATGCTCACTATCCTTCTGCGGTCATGCTACAAGTAACATCATGCTTCGTTGTTGCAAGCAACCTCTCTAGTGTTTGAGGCACTGCAGCATCACGCCTCCCTACTGTAGTGTTCACTACTGTTGTGTGGTCGTGATGCGAACCACGTCATGCCTTCTGGTTGTATCAAGCCTGCTTCCTCCTCCACCTGTAGTGTTCACTACTGCGTGGTTCGGGTATGGAGAAATGATGCGAAGAGCCTCATGTTGGCGATTGCATCAGATCTCCTTCCCTCCGTGGTGTTCACTACCTTTTGCAAAGTCCTGGTGCGGGGAACAACATGATGGTTGGCTGCATCAAACGCCCTATTCGCTCGCAGTGTTCACTACTGTTGTGTGGCCATGTTACGAGCATTCCGAGCGAGCAAGTCGATGCTTCGATTTCTCTCGTTCCCTCTGTAGCGTTCGTTGCCCTGGCATGCCTTTCCGTAGTCCGTAGTGTTCTTTAAGCATGAATCAAATTGAATTGCATCTTCGTCGTGCATCAAGGTGTGGAAAGCGGAGTGGAGAGTGGAGTGGAGAGTGGAGTGCAAAGTGGACTGGAAAGTGGATTGGTTGGGACGTGGAATAGAGACTGCGGTGTAAAGTGGATTGGACAGTGGCGTGGACAGAGGATACGGGAGTGTGGACTGTGCAGAACGGAACGTGGAGTCTGGATTCTGGAGATTTGAAAGAAGAGCGGAGAGACCCATTGGTGAGGTTTTAGGACCTAGGCAGATGCTTTGCAGGCCCCCCCCAGACGTTTGTGCTTCTTGCTCCCGTTCCACTTCTCTCCTCCCACTGTGCTCCAGTGCTTACACCTGGCTAGCTTTCATTGGCCGTTGGCTGCGCTGTCAATTCTTTGATTTCAGGTCCGGAAGGGCACGGCATGGAGTTGAGGCTGAACTGCGAGGTCCTGAAGGAGCTGTGCCAATAGACATCAGAGACGCAAGAAACTCAAGATAGGTTTCGTCAGTTGAGAATTTACAGAAGCATTTTAGTCAACCCTACCTACCATGGCCATTGCAATGAGCTTTGTCGCTTCACGATTGCCATGTTTGTGTCAGCTGGCAGGACAGCACCCTGGTCAGGACCAGACTGATTTGTTGAGAGGTTGTTTTAGGTTTCTGAAGCTGGATGACCAACAAGTGAGGGAGCCAGGCACCTGTGATGACTAGTGGCTAGAGGTGACTAATGCTTTTTGCCAGGAGAAATCAGAGGCCATCCTCCTTCATCGAGGCGATGAGCTTTAAATATGCTCTTGGCCCAAGCTGGAGGAAGCCTGTTACTCAGACACCGCAGGAAGGATCTGGTTGGAAGGCGGCAGTTGCGCAGAGCTCAGTCCGCTAAGGGCCCACTTCGGGCTTCGTGCGAAGCACAAAAACAGCAGTCCCCACTTGTGGGGAACCACTGCAGCTGCAAATAACTTGGTTTGCAGTGCTGAGCTCTCGGGGCGGTGCTTCAGAATGACTGTTGCTGCTTCAGTAGTGATTTGCAGAGCAAGGCCGTAAATGCGGGCTTACTGTACGTTTGCATGCGCTGACAACAGTTGCAACTCTGAATGGAGTTCAATACAGTAGTAGAGCCGTAGTGAAGACGAGCATCAAAGCAAAGTCGTGCAAACACTTAGGTTTCTTACTTTCCAATCCCAGGCTGAGATTTGACCGTGAAACCCGGCACTTTAGCACCGCAAGGTACATCGAAACGTTCAAAGCTTTGCAAACCTTTGATCAGTCTGAGAACAAGTGGCATGACAGTCCTCATGCATTCTCTCGATTTTTTACGGGGATGTGACGATGGTATTCTGTCTGGGGCCGTGAGTCCCTAATTAGTCGTATTTGTGGATGAACTGCTTGATCTGAGGATGCCTTCTTCGCATCCCGGCTGGGCCTGCCTGCAGAGATGCGTCAGGAGTTGTCAGGGGCCCTGACATAGGGCTGCTCACCTTGCCCTACGCAGTGTTCAGAAAGAAGAGTCGCATTTGTTGCACTGACCTCTAAAATGCACGAACAATCATGAACAATCCAGAATGTCACTGGGATGCCTACAGTCGCGATCAGGTATTGTACCATGCATTACAGTGTAAGGATCTTTGTTTTCGCCTTTCTGCTCAGGCATTCTTAGAAGATTTTTTGCGTAAGGTGAAGGGGTTCGTTATTGTGCATGTCTTGCAATGAGCATCTAAGTAAATCCACAGACAGGTCGCCAGAACAAGGGAAGATCCCAGGTTAGATCCCAGGTCGTTGGGGAACAAGAGGCGATAGCTACGGCTTTGGTCAGTGCGACTGAGGCTGGCACAGGACAATGTTGTCGCGGACAAGGCGTCTCAGTCTGGCAAGCAGAACAAGCAGTTGGGAGCTGAAAGACATGGTGCCTTCTGAGTGCTTTCTGCACGCGGAAGGGTGCTGGAGGGATCATGGTAGGCGATGTAGCTTGCCCTTGAGGAAGTAGTGTTGTCAAAGTCTGAATTGCGTCTCTTCGTGCAGGTTGAGCGAATCAAGTCCATGTTTTTCCCGGGTGTGGAGACAATGCCCGCTTCTCAGCAATGAGGAAGAGCTATGGCAGCTATGATCTACGGTCATGGATGTTCAGCCCCTTCGTTAAGAGCTACTGGTAGCCTGCAAGCTGCTCCGCCGCGCCGTAGAGTTGTGATCGAGAGCGTTACATGTACTGCTCACACTCCAGATATTGAGATGCGTAACGCTTGTGTCCTGATTGAGGTATACGACATATGATGTCTGCATTCACATCCCGGATCCCTCGCGGCCTTCGCTTAGAGTGGGGAATCCCGGTCATTGCATGGGAGCCTTTGTGATTTTGTTTCGCGTTCACGGCCGTCTCGAGTTGGTGGCGACATCCTCAGCTTGAGGCCATCGGCCTGCCGGACATGACCAGCTTCGACACCGAAGCCATTCCTGCGGCCCGCCCGGGAGTAGGCATGTCATGGCTTGCTTGGAGATTTCGCGGTGCAGGCCAACCTGCCAAAGGCGAACTGGTCTTGGCAGAGCCTGGCTTGTTTGTGACCCTTTGCACAACTCTGCGTGTGGGACAGTTCAACCCGCATCAACCAGCAGCCTTTTTATCTGGGTCCATGAGATGTGGGGAGTGGCAACGCGCATCTAGTATGGTTGCACCATTTCCAGAAGTCAGGCGAAGACGGGGCGAGGAGTTGAGCAACGAGGAGGCCCTCGAGCGTCTGCTCCAGGAGGGGTGATGGTCTGCTGCAGACGCTCTGCGTGCATTCTCAAGTGCTTTCGTGAGATGAGTTCTTGATCGGCGAATGTGAAATTACACTTGGGACGATGAACTGCCACGCTGTCAGAGCTGCCATTCGGGTATTTGATGGTATTTGTATGATCCTTGAGTGAGGAGCACGGTATCGACACCAACGACTACCCCCCTGGGGCGACAGCAGAGCTCTGCGACGAGCTCTATGAGGTATCACAGGGTACGTGAGCTTGTTGCTTCTTGGGACCGGCACAACGATGTTGTTCCAAATCAATCATATGCTGCCAGTCGCGGTATGCCACGCTGAACATCCGGGCAGTAACCTTAGCAGTTCATCACGACGTGCTCTTGTGCATGCTTGTGATCGTTGTTTCATGTGAGACATTTGCAAGCAGGAGGGCACCTGCCACGTCTCAGTTGCAATGAGAAGCCAAGGCTGGCCATCTCGTGCGCAACATCCAAATCATCAAGGCAGCTGTTGAACTCTTGAGCCGTGCGAGACTGTAGCATCTGTAGCAGCTGCGCATCATGTCTCGCTACTGGCCCTTGAAGCTGACCAGGTCTGGTTGTGCGCGACCATCCTCAGCGTGGACTACGCCTGGGCCTTGGACTTGACGGCCGAACAGTAGGCTCGGTCAGGCTGGGTACGCATCCAAGTGTCAGGGGCCTCCTGTCTCATGTGTGCCTCTTTCGGAATTGCCGAAGTAACTTTTTCCTTAACTGAGGTTCTTCGCTCCAAGGGCAAGATGCAGTTTGGAAAGCGAGAACGGAATCATAAAGAAGGCAGGCCCCATCCCGGAAGCAAGCCGCAGTCCCCGCTGCAGTGACCTGTTGCTCAGGTCCAGTTACCATGCGAATGCGCTCCGACCAGGATGGGTGCAGTCTGAAAAGGCATGCAGTTTGGGGGGCAGGCAGGTCGGCCTTGGAGACCTTGGGCTCTTCTTCAGACAAAGGATTCGTGACAGTCAACTCAGTCATGAAAGCTTGATATTCAGAAGTAGTTTCCGTCTCCAAGTGAGGAGATACCTGCGAGAAATGGGAGATTGGTTGGTAGCAGAAACAAATACGCCTTGTTCTCTGCCACGAATCCGTATGAGTGTTTTTGAGGTCAGTCTGGCAGCCTGGCAGGACTGGAAAGCGGCCGCGTTGGCGTGCTTGTACGGAGCGGGCCCCAGAGTTTTGACGTGATATCTCTGCATCTTCTGCCTTAGATGATGGTGTGCAGTTCTAGGGGACTTGGCAAGTTGCACAATTCCCCACGGTCCTGCCGGTCAGCGGGTTCCCAGGTAAGCTTGGCATGGATGAGGCGCCGTCCTCGGGCTGTCCGTTTGAAACTCCAACGGTAGTCCGCGCACGTGAGAGCTTTCTGGTTCTTCTGAGTCTTTAGTTTGCCCAGGCTTTTGTGAAGTCGCACTTGGTCATTGTGGACTCCTCATACCGGTTGGATGAGGAGGCCGCGTGCAATGGTTGCATTTGAAGCAAGGCGGTGTTGGGTATGGTGCAGCTCTCTACCTACTGCCAGCAAAGTGGCACATACGGAAGTGTGACCTTATTTGTGGGTGTTGACATAGGTTCGATTTTTTCGGCAGAGCGCAGGAGCCGTGACTGTGAGATATACCATGCGTGCTGCCCCGGGCGGTCTCGACCTGAAAACATCTTGCAGGTGGAGTATTCCAGGTCATATCCTGGACTCAAGACGGTGTATAACATCCATACTGTCAAGTGCCGGGTCAAGGTGCCTCGGCTGCCCTCCGTGTGACATGTTCAAGCTCATGCTAGATAGCTGAAGACGCCATGAGGATGTAGAGAACCCGGAGATGTCCTTTATTGGGCTCCCTGAAGGCTGGCAGGGTTCAGATGGGCATCACGCAAACATTCCTGTCTTTTCATGGTGCTTGGCGCTGGTAGGTAATGACTTCGCGGTCACTCGGGTTAGCCTGAAGCCAAGCTCGAGTGGTGCCACGACAGCCTGTTGCCAGCAGCGCTCCTTAGACGCAGGGTTTCAGACAGAGGACAAAGTCTGCGACCCTCGAAGACTGGCCGAGAAGGCGTCGTGTCGACGCTATGGTTTTGGAAGCCTAGGACGGGGATGGCAGTCACTCGGTTCGGTTCTGCTTGCCAGCCTTGCAGACTCACCCAGCAGGGTGCAAGTCCAGAGGCATGCCTTGTTTCCTCAGTGCCGTGAGGAACCAGCTCACTGAAACCGGTGACCTGTTGTACTTCCAGTCATTGCCTAAGTTTTTAAAGCCAAGTTACAACAGCAAGGCGCAGCTCGAAAGCGTGTTCAGTGTCTCTTCGTCTTCCCCTTGAAGCTTCTCGAAAGGAAAAGTTTCACCGATCAGCACAAAGACCTCGACATGGAGGTGGGTCTGCAATGTGCAGCATATGCCGCGCATTTGGTTCTGGAATTGTCCGATCGGAGTCTGCTGTGTCTGCACAACAAACCTGGAGCTACAACGGCCTACTGATGAAGCCCTTAGGATCCAAATCCAAATCCATGCGAGATTTAAGGATGCAGCGCCTGTGGCGAAGCGCCAACTGGAGCCGCCAGCGCCCTGAAGGTAGCTGCATTGTGCCTGCTCTCAGCGGGCGGGACCAGCAAGGACGCTCACAGTGTTGCAGCAATGTACTTGGATGGTAGAATGCGTTGGAGGCATTCTATCTGAAGCGCTAAGGCCCATGATCCTCGAGTGCGCATGCTCAGACAATTGCAAAGTCAGAACCCATTGGCAGTACCGTCTGGCATGCACAGTAGCACTGCCATGGAATGCCATCCAGATGAATGAACGCAAATAGCTACAACTAGCTTTGATTGCGCGCCATGCGCGAGATGATACTAGCTTTGACACGGCACTGATGCTTTGAGGGCAGACATCGAGGAAGGCGACGGCGAGCACAGGCTCCTGATCAGTGAAAGGTGTTGTCAATTGTGGCAAGTGCACGCATCGCAAGCGTAGAAGGTCACAGCGATTGCAGCTGAATTGTGCTGCCCACCTCATCAGGCTTGTCGTGGCCGAGCTAATGAAGGGGAGGCCGGGTTTGCTTTGGTTCTGTTGGCAAGAGCTGACAGTCCTGTGTTGGAACGAGAGAGGGGGCCCAGTCGCCCAGCCAGCGCCCGGGTTTGTGATATCCAAGAGCTGCAGGACCACAAACTGGTCCCGAGCGCGGCGAGCTGCCAAAAGGCCTCTTGCATAAGCATGCGGCCAGAGCTTCCTGATAAATTGCCGCTGTGCTCACAAGTACTCTTCCTATGAGGTTGAGAGTAATCAGGTGTGATGGCATGGGAGTTGTTGGCATGCCATGAGCGGAAGGATGCTCGATCCCACCTATGGCCTCAAAAGCTCGGGCCTTGTCATTTATTTTGCCGTTGAGAAGCTGGTCAGGGTCAAGTCATGGTGCTCTGGCTTTTCATGTGTGGCAATCTGCAATCAGGCTTCTATGAGGACTGCCTGGCCTCTTTTCCGGAGCTGTTGCTCTACACGGCGTGCCTCTCAGGTTTGTCCTTGACAATTCAGAGGCCGCTTTGCTCTGCCAGCTCAGGCAGACGACGGTGGACTGGTGAGCAGTGGCCGAAGTGCGCTGGAGGAGTTCCAGAGGACGGCGCCCGCCTCGGAAATGGAAGGTCTCATGAAATGGCTCCTGCATCTCTGTTCTTCCATCTTTGTTGCTTTTAGTTGCCTAGCATGGCCAGATGGGTGCGCTGTTTGCCGTCTTCTGGTTTATGCGGCGAAAGATGGGTGGCGCCGAGTCGCCAGGATCTCGGTGGGTCCATGTGGCCCGACTGGCAGAGTCGCACGCAAGGGCAGCGCAAGTGATGCTCCTTCAGTCCAAGCACACTCTGTCCACAGTGGGATCACTTGCTTTCGCTCCCAGATTCTGCTTCGGGGTGGATGATGAGTGGGAGCCACTGCCTCTCACCCAGCAGAGACATGCGCAGTATTGCTGAGTCAGCGCAAATTTGATTGTGAAAGCAAGCCGCCTGCTGAGATGCTCATGCAAACGTCCTTCCTTTCTTGGCCACTGGCATGCGCAGCCTACGTGACCAAGGAATGCTCGGTCAAAGCAGCCACGCCGGAAGAAGGAAGAGATTGCCAAGAGGCCGGCCGCTCACACGAAAGATTCCCATGCCACCTTCTTGTGTAATTCCACTACAAAGATCTTCGATCCGACGACTAGCTCCTTAAAAGCTTTGGGTACGGTCTCACACAGATTCCATTATTCCTAGAGGCTGAAATTGCACTTGTCCTGTATGGGACAGGCAAAGCTTCTTCAACGAGGTGTGGATGGGCTGCGTTTGCCGGGCATTGGGTTATGGCAGCACTGCTTGTTGCGAGTGCAGGTAGAGTGGGAGAGGATAGATGAGCTCCTGTATGGGTCCTCAGACGGGATGGGTGCAGCCAAGGGGTTCCTACTGTAGTGAAGAAACATGAGCTGACGCAAGCTACTTCCCATTACTTCCCACTTGGAAACCGTAAGGCACGATGCTGGTCTTTTGTGCGATGGTGTTGAAGGCATGGCACTCAGTATGACAACGAAGCTGTTGAACCGCCTTCAAACAACATGGCATTGTCACCTGACCATAAAGACTGAGGGGTTGGTGTTTTAAAATTCTTGGAGCAACTGCAAGCAAGTTGTGCGTGATGCCATTTCTTCAGGCCATAGATGCAGTCGTCTGGCTGCTGTGAAAAAAGCAATCTGATGACTGGGCATGTCCGCCATGCGAAAGCTTGTCACAGGGCTTTCGCATGAAAAAGAGCTGCACAGGATTCTTTCTGAAGTCCCAACAGCCGGTGCCAGTGGAAACAGGATGGATTTTGTTTCACGTTTGTGAGATCGGGTTCCATCATTGAATATAATGATCCCTATGAATTACCTTCTGTGCGAGCTTCCAAAAGCGCACCCCCTCAACGCTTGCAAACGCGTGTTGTGTGGAGACACATCAAGGTCACGACGAGGAGCGCGTCCTCGCAATGCTTGTGCCGCCCCTACGCACGAGTGACTCTGGAGACCGAACAGGCGTCTCAGTTGCCAAGTACTAAGGCGACCTTGTGATTGTATGTGATTGTGGGGTCGGCAACGTTACAGCTTCCTGACAAATCCACTTCTTTCATTGCTCACTCTGCACTGAGGTCCTTACTGCCATCCACGACATCATGAAGCTTGTGCATCTGACCTGTTGCAAAAGTCAAGAAACTGCCGTGCTCGCTGTTGCTCCCTTCAATGAATCAGGGCTGTCAGTGCAGATTCCTCCTGCCAGGTACCGCTGCTGCCCAGCGTAGCACCGGAGCATGCGCCGTACCGCGGCTACAAGGCGCTCGTCAGGGTCCCCTAGATTGATTGAATCCCCAAGAAGAGAAGGACCGCCATGCAAAGGAAATCGGGTTGCTGGGTGCTTTAGCTTCTGGGACCCAGTTCACATCGCAGCCCATCAGCCTAAGTTCATTGTGTTGCTTGGGCCGCTAGGCGGGCGAGACGATCCATGACCACGACATTGCACTCAGCTGGTAGCCTCAGAAGCAGAATAACATGTAATGCTCACCCGAAGTGCCCTTGTCCCTGTAGAAAGTCAATATGTAGGAATCTACCATACGCAATACGCAGCAACAAGGTTTGATAAGTGAAGGGCTGTGGCTGAGCACTATCTGACATCCCACACCGGGTCACAACAGACAACTACAGCCATTTGCGTAGAAACTAGGTGTGCGGAGTGCAGCTGAGGCTATGTTCTGGATCATTACTCTTACGCCCTGCCCTCTTACCATGAGCTGTCAAAGAAGCAGAAGGAGCCGTTTTGCTGCTCGCGTGTGCCTGCGAAAAGGGAAGATGGTCAAGAGTTGGGATGAGTGGAGCCGCTTGCCCACCTGTCCTAAGCTCGTCAGGACTCCATCCGTTTCACCCAGTGCAAGATGGAGTACAACATGGGCTGGCTAGTGCAGGCGCGGCTGCTTACTGCGCAGGAGTCTGTCTCTGTTCTGCATCTGCTGTCCATGGTTCGAGCTCTGACGAGCGACCCGTTGGCTCACAGACTGATCAGCCCAAGGTACTCGTGCTTAGCAGCCCTGCAGCTATGCTTCTCTTCCTGAACCTTGCAAACTTGTGAACAAGAAACACTCATTAGCTCTCCAACTGCTCTGGAAATCCTAAGGCAGGAGGCCAACAAACGAAATCGCTCTGCACACCAACATCTCCTTGGCATCTGCCTTCGAGGTGAACACCTCTGTGACAACCTGTTCAGCCACAGCCGAGCCATGCTTGTGCCGTCACATCCGTCACCCAACTTGCTACCCCTCCCAGATGCAGGGTCACTGGCACCCGGAGGCGTGGTCGGAGCACTGACAGTTTTTAGGAGTTCAGCGCGCAAGCTTTCCTGCAGGAAGCCCCCACCACAGCGCCCGGCCGACCTTAAAATCAGGCTGGTTCACAGATTTTAGCGTGTGGATCAGGATGCACATGTGCTGCTTTTGCAGGTCAGCTATTGGACGTGGCTTCCCAAGCTTGCCTTAATGCCCTGATGTTGGCACGCGATTTGCCGCATTTGTTGCAGTACATCGTTGCATGGTCCGAGGAGCAGCCGCCGCTGCCTCCACCCAGCCTCCTAGAGGGCTTCCCAGACCCTCAGCGCGTGGACGCAAGGACGGAATGTGAAAAGGTAGTTCAACGGTCAGAGCGGTTGCTTCATGCGGAGTTTTCTGAGGATAAGCGCAGTTCTAATTCTGAAGTCGCTGAGGTTCCTTGTAGATTGTAGTGTTCTTTAATACTTTGCCAGATCAGCAGCAGATCATGCTTGCTGGAGACTGTGCCAGGAAGAAGGAGTACCTCAACGCCCTGCAGGACGAAGCTGACGGGCATAGGGGAGAAGGTCTGGCAGCCAGATGGTTCCACTTGAGCGATACTTCTTTGTTATCGAAGGGGTTGCGGTCTCCGGCGCCAAGAATACTCGAAAGGATCCGCATCTGCCCATAAAATGGGCAGTTGATTTGCTGCAAAAATGTGTGCTGGGTTCATGTCCTGATACTGCCGATGTTTGAAGCACTGGGCCACAGCCAAAGGAGCAGGTTCGCCAGCGCGTGGCAACACTGACTCAGCGGCATCAGGCGGCGCATAGATGGAATCTGTCTCGCAGCCAAGATGATGGCTCTACTCTCCATCTTGGATATGACGCCGCACCTGTTGCCAACTGCTGCCTGAGCCTTGCTAGGCTAACTTGGAGTACCTCCGTGCCAAGAATGATCAATGCAAAAAGTTCGCGGCTCAGGGCCATGACCTGCAAAATTCTGGCATGTGCTAGCATTGCGCAGGAATCTTGTGACCAGAAGTGTCCAGATGCTCAGAAGCCTTTACGATGCAGGCAGGCGCAAGCGACGATTGACCAGGATGGACCTGCATTTTTGTAGTTCTATGTTCCTATTAGGAAGCTTGCTTTATGGTGGCATGGCCTAGTGCAGGAGCTGCTAAAGCAAGAGATGGAGGTCGACCGGCGCCACGACGAGCAGCTTCTGGCTCTCCAGCAGGCGGGCGCGGCCCACACCAATAGTTGCTGACGTGCGAGCAGTGCTTGACCCCACTGCCTTGACTGCCAGGCAGCCATGCGCGCCTTGGCGGGGATCAGGATTGTGTTCTGAGTATTCTGAGTAGGACTGCAAAGTATTGCTGCAAACTGCAAACTGCTGCGCTGAGGCAGGAAGTTCAACATCTCAAAGGAAGCTGGCGAACTGACCCTGCAGTATCAGACCAAGGCGACGCAGGCCTCAGGGGACCTCACGGCTGGGCACAAAAGGGGTTTGATTATAGCTGCCAGTTCAGCAGGACATTGCAAGCAGTCGTAAGCCCCATTATTATGCGGGGGGGTGAAAGAGTTCTGCCATCATGCTCCATGCAGGGAGAGCAAATTGTCGCTAGCGGCGGCAGCAGCGGCGACAGCAGCGGCGACAGCAGCGGCGACAGCAGCGGCGACAGCGACAGCAGCAGCAGCAGCAGCAGCAGCAGCAGCAGCAGCAGCAGTTGCCACGTCAGGAATTAGCCACAATCATCCCATCATCTGAGACCAAACGCTTACCATGCACTGGCCTGACATCTTGGAGTAGGGCAAGGCCTGAAATCCAAGAATAGTGCAAGCAGATTGGACCATAATTGCTCAAGCTTTACAAGCGTCGGATGGCACGAAGAAAGCGGCGACATTGAGGTACGTCCAACGCTAACAAGGGTACTTCAAAATGTATATACGGCAGCCGCGCCTCCACCAGAAGGCTTCAAGTTCGTATGATGGAGATCATGATTTGTAGCGAGCTTCCTGTATTCCTCACAGCATTCAGACATCATGCTTGTATAACTTCAGCACGGCAGATGGCACTAATCCGGAAACTGTTCGAACAGAGGGCTTTCCTTTTGCAAGCCCTAGTCCTTCTGTCACCTGATTCGTGCAAGCAACGTAGCAGCAGGTAGCGAATGCTGCCAGAATTCAAAATTATGTGTGAGTTTTGGGGGATTCCTGTAATATTAGGTTTTGGCGAGGGTAAGGTGGAATCCCGTTTCGGATGAATGCCCACATCCTCAAAACCGTAGGAACATTCAGCAAACAAAATGAGATGCCTGACCTTCAGGAAAAGCTGCAGCTTCTGGACTTTGCCCTGCGACCGCATGTTGGGCACGTAGGAGTTTGCAAAATGGGATTTCATGCCGGAATAAGTCAGCAAGGGTACCCCAGTGTTGAAGAAGCCTCTATGTCTCAAACTTCTGGATCACTTTAACTCAAAAGCTGGGGACATCTTCTTGTTTGCGGTTTGGGGTATGGGGGTTTGAGAGGACTTGACGCATGTCTTTCTCACTAGGGGCCCAAAATTCCTGCCTTGTTGCTGTTTCCTGTCCTTACCTTTCCCTGAATGAAAGATGCTTAGATCCGAGGACCCTGGCATTTTTCGCTGTTAGAAAAACTCTACAGGGACGAAGAAAACAATTTTGCCATTATTATTTTTCTTACTCTTACTACTACCACTACTACTACTACCACCACTACTACTACTACTACTACTACTACTGTTACTACTACTATTACGACGACGACGACGACGACGACGACTACTACTACTACTACTACTATTTACAATTGCTGCGATTATGTCTACCACTATTACTACTTTGCTATTCTTCTATCTATTACTTCTACTACAATTACTACTATGACTATTATTACTACTAGTACTACTATTATTATTGCTATTACCCGTTTTTAGTAGTACTATTATTACTACTACTCTTATTGCTGTTATTACTACTTTATTCCAAGGAGCTCCACCGGCGCTACTTCGATGCAGCAGCCAAGCCGCTGGAGTGGACGCAGACACAGGAGGCAAGGAATGAGTCAGCAGCGTACTGTACAGGGAAGAACGGCACACTTGATTTGTGTTAACAAAATTGGGTGTCTTTCTGACTGGGGCTCCCTTTTATCATGAATCCGAACCAAAAGGCGACCTCTTCGAGTTCTGTAACAACAAACAGCACCATCACAGTATTCCTCCTCCTGCTCGTCCTCAGCCGCTGTACAGGGGTCGTCACTTTCATGTTGAATGATGCTCTGATCACCGTGGCAAGGTATCTTTGGCTGGATCGCCAGTAGCTCTGCCCCAAAACCTGAACATGAGGCCTGAAATCGCGCGCGTGCAAGTGCATGAGGGCCAACGAACCACCCAATCTAGTCTTTGGAGAGTTCTCTCTTGCAGGGGCATCGGCAAAATGTCATCGCTGTGTAATTAGTCCCACTGTGCAGATGGAATCGAGCTGGTTTCAGCTGCTTCTTTGTGCAAAGGCCTGGCAAGCGAGGAGGGATCCCTTGAAGGATAACGAGCAGGGTGTGCTGCTGGGCTTCCTCAATGCTAGAGAAGCTAGGAGTGCCCAATAGGTGCAACTAGTTATTTCCGTGGACGGATTTGCATTGTCCCGCTTCTGCTGTCTAAGGCTGGAACATGCAGTGTCTTGGAGCAATTTCAGGCAGCTCTAACTCATGCGGCTTAACAAGACTCTTGCAGTTACCATAAGTCAAACGGAACAATATGTCTGAAAAAGGACAAGGGATGCCATGTCTCTCGTACTGCCGGCGGCTGCTCAGGTGCACTTCCAGCCCTTGTGAGGGACTGTCGCTGCAGCATTGACTGTGACGGACATGCATCTCCATCCAGAGCCCTCTTTGTGATCTTGGTGGGTGTCCGGTAGGCTTCTGCAAATGTACCTTGCATGCCTGGCACGCCTCGTTGTTTGACAAACTCATGTAGCTTTGTAGCCCCCCTTGCGTGCACAGACCTGCAGAATCTGTTGCCAAAGAGAAGCTGGGGACCATACCGTGCGCGCAAATGCGCCTTGACTCCACGGCATGGCTCCACTGCCTCATGTTAGACAAGCTAGCGTGGATCATTGCGTGCGAAACCGGTGCGCGACTTCACGGATTGATTTTTCTGGGAGAGGGTGCTTGCTGTGTGTTCTGCTAGCAGGCCGAAGCTCCTCCTGGGGCGCTGTTTACAAAGTTTAAGGAGTAGATTCCTCAGCTTCTGGGATGTGATCCCAATTTTCTCTGGCCCTGAGAGAAGATCCTGCTGATATGCTGAGGTGCATGGAGGACGGCGGTCCAGTCCCCAGATGGGCAGTGTTGCCGCTCTTCCTCCTAGTTTTGGTCTTGAACATTTACGGTTCTTGCTGCTCTTGCATTCCTTTGATAGTTGTTGTCCTTTCCTATCGTGCCAATTTCCTGCAGCAACATCGCCAGCATGATATTGATAGTGCTTGCAGCACTGGTCGGCTGCAGCCATCGTCAGCGTGTCGTCACGAGCAGGGTTCATCAACAATGCTGCTAGTAGCTGCTAGTGCTACTAGTTTATGATGATGTGATTGCATCATACGAGTATGTGGGTAAGGTGTTTTTTTCCCCCTCGGCATCATAACTGTAACTGGAAGTCGAACATTGCCTTCATGGTCATTGACATTAGCACTTGTATTTCACTAGTCTCAGAGCTGGTAGTCTGTTGCCCCAAAACCCCTTCTTTCAAGTTAACCTGCGCTGTAGCATGCCAATTGGAGATGCGTTCTTTTTCAAAGCCTCACCAGGCCCAAAGGGCAACTGACGTTGTTGAACACTCTGCAAAGTGACACATTGAAGAGGTGGTTCAGTAGCGGACACTGCGCAGTCATGAGGCGTCGAACCAGCAGACGTCGCCTTCTACTTCTGCCACTGGCTCACAGACCTAGCGGGCGCTGAGCCGTACCCGCAGGATGAGCTGTGGATGCTGAACGTGCTTGGGTCGATGCAGAGCTGCAGTGTCCAAGAAAGGGGCTAGATGCCCATAGCCATCCGCAGCCTGGAGTTCTCAAAGCACTTGCGTGCAACAGGAAGGCTGCGAAAAGTTTGTTCTCAAGTTTCCCCGGACAGTGCGGGGCTCAACTTATTCGGAGTCAAGGGCTATTGGAATTCAGATGCTGCAAACGAAGACGGATCAAACAAATCTTTTACAAGTTTGTCCAATTTGGACTTGGCGGCTGGAAGTCTTCAAAGATTGTATTGATGCTGGCCAACTGTCAGTGCTAGAGCAGGACGTGGTAGCTGCATGTCCGCCTTTAGAGATGGCAGCCTGAAACACATGTTGTGCTTTATTTCACTTGCTGCATGGCTTGTAGCATTGCGTGAGGTGTTGAGCTCCTTCATCAAGTCTTTCAAGATTGTGGGGGAGCTGGCAGTCAAGTGCGCCCAGCGCATCTTCTATATGTTCCCAGGGCCCTGAGAAGTCAGGAGGAACCTCTCATCAGACAGGCAGCAAGGAAACCCAGCAGAACACATTGGCCACTCACCGCACTGGAGCCGGTGTGCTTCTTTCAAGAGGTGTAAAGCTTGCAGGGATTGTTGTTTGCGGTTCCGATAATATTGTCTGCCCGTGCTGCAAGAAATGTCAGGTCTGAGTCTCAGGTGCTGGAGGACTATCTCGCCTGGCTCTGAGCATCATGTCTGCAGCCTGACTCTGCGCAACAAAGTGCTTGAGAATGCCCGTTGCGAGAGAACCTTGTTGCAGTGGAACGATGCTCTTTCCTTTAATCAGTGTTTGTTTTGAGTCTTTGGAGTGTGTGCGCTGACATACTGCGACGAGCGTAAGCAGTTGCATCAGCAAGCACAAGACACCGTGACAGCTGCGCCAACAGAGTTTGATCCCTTGGCTCGCAAGGTCTGGAGGTGGACCTCCCATCAGCCCTCGCTTGGGGCAGTGCGTAGCCCAGCGACCTGTGATGAAACAAGCATGCGGATTGCTGTGTTGCGGGCTACGGTGATGCTGTGCCACTATACGCCGATGCTCCTCTCACTTGGGGCCCGAATTCCGCACTGGGACTAGTGGAATCATGACGTGGATCTATCCGCTAGCATTATCGTTCCAGTTAGAGGGCGACCTGCCATCCCATTCAATGGCCTGGCCGAAGATTCATTCCTGAATCCGAGCCTGTGAACGTTCTAACCTCATGCATGCAATTTTCAATGTAAATCCGACCCCACACCCCTCAACCTCAAAGCCCAAAGCTTTTCAGTGTTCCGCCCAGATGCCCAAAGACCGCGGCTGCATAGCAGCGCTCAGACTTGTGGTCATGGCTGGGCAGCCCAGTATTCTGGTTCTGGTGCTTTGCAAATCTTTGCAATCCTTACGCGGGCATTTGGGACAGTTGCGATCTGCCAGGACGTGCCACGTCTTTACGGTACCCATTAGAACGCCCTCACCCAACTAGGAGTGTCTGATTTTTTGGAGCTTTTGGCGGTTTTGACGGCAGGGACTTCACATCCTTGAACCTAGCCACCCTCAAGCCTGAAGCCCGAAGCTTGAAGTTTGAAACCTACAACCAAATCGGAAATCTAAGGCGCAAGGAGACAGCCAGGCTATCCTCCGTGGGGGCCCCTGACGGCACTGGGGTTTCCAGGCCCCTGAAGGCTTCACAGGCGTGATATGTTTGCCAGCCTATTCCTGCAGACCAATAGTGCAGGGTCGTAGAAACAGTGCATGTGAGCAGGCTTTCAGGCGTGGCTTAGCGTCTTGTGCCTCGTACAACATGCAGTGCCACCCAGGAAATTGCGCAATCCTGTTTCGGCTAGTCAAGAGTAGCGGAGTAGCGCTGCTGGCCGGCAAATTTGATATTCGACTTCTAGCAGGTCCTAGCATGTGCTCAGGTGCGCTCACGACAGTGCCTGCGCAGGACTCTTTGCTTGAGCCGCACCCATGACGGAAGTCTGAAAAGACAGTGTCATGCAACTCAAGCCTAAAGTAGAGCTTGCCAGTTTGCAGGATCGAGACGTTCTGGAGGAAGAGCTGGCTCACACCGGCTGCAAGGAGCGCAATATCCCGACAGGTGGAGCTGATCCAATCCAAGATTTTCCAACTAACCTTTCGATCCAGGTTTTTTGAATAGACAGTCTTAGCCACACAGTCTAAGCTGCCAGGACCAACTTTTTGAGTTGGAGAATCTCCCGGAGGGCGCAGTACCCATGGGCTCGGGCCGCAGTTGCCCAGTGACCAGACCAAATTTTGAGGAACGTGATTAGGCCAGTACCTTTGCTGATTTCAAACTAGACATTGACGTGAGTTGTGTCATGGCACTCTCTGACGCGGGCTTGGTAGCTGGGAGGATTCTACGAGTAAGTGCCTCGATCAGCAGCCGGCCATCTTTCCTAAATCCAAAGCAGGAACTGTGGCCCTGAGGACTATCCAAAGTTCCATCCAAGGCCCTGCAATCTTGATTTACTACGCGCCGGCACTGATGCAGAAGGTGTGGACGTGAGTTGAGGGCTTCTCTGTTGCGTACACTGCCTCCTTGAGATCAGGCTTCCTACATGGCCTTTCTGCTGACATCCCTCACATTCGGCTAGAAATTGTTTTGGGAAGCCAGGATTGTTACTGATCGAGTCTTTCGGATGATCAAGATGTTTTCTTCCAGGTTTTGACAACATTCGCTTTGGCTCCGAGCCCTTCATGTGACATCATAATGTAGCTTGACCACGACGGAGCCCGTGACCTGTGGTTCCGTTTCAGGGGTCTGGTTTTTGGCATTGTGGCGAGCTGTGCGAGCTGTGCGAGCTGTGCGCCAGGCTGGAAAGTCTGATCCCTCCTCTGCACTCAGGCAGAGCTCGGCTGGGGCCAGCTAAGGGGGATGGCAAGATTTTTGTATGAATGGTACTATGGGAGTGCAAGGTTGATCAAGTGAGAACAGGTGTCAGGATCTCTGTCGGGCTTGTTAGGTCTGCTCGTCTGCATTTTCTTATGTCGGGCAGGCTTAATTTTCACAGATGACGGCCGGTCCACCCTGTTAGATTGCCCAACCCAGAAGTGTGGTCTAGTTAACATGAAGGCTTGACGGAAGAGCGTGGGCAGAAACAGGCTAAACTGACTGCAAGTGCCATTTGTCCACAAGGCATCCTGCAGCGAACGCGTGCACTCCGACGGGGGTTTGTAAAAAACCTAAGTGTACGGAATGCTATCTAACCCAGGCCACGCGTCGGAAAGGAGCAGCTATCTGCTGCTTTTGCTCTGCGAGATTTCGGTACATCCGTTACATCCAGCAACACATATGCTCTCCAACCTCTATCTCCAAATTCATCAAAACCTCAAGCAACCTGAAACCCACCTCAAACGTTCCAAATACCTCAACCTGTAGAGCCTGCAGGATACTGGCAGAGATCTTCCGACAAGCCCGGCAACTTTGGCCGCCAGGGGCCCGGCTTCTCTTGAGGCTTCTCAGAAGGAACTTTTGGGTCCAGGTCTCAGGTTAGAGAGTCTTGAGTATAGGTTTTGTGGCATAGCAGCAAGAGTTTGCAATTTGGGGTTGAAGATTCTACGTTTTAAGGGCAGGGGCTTAGAGTTTCGAGCATTGGATGTAGCAAGATTTAAATTCAGGATTGGGTTTGGTGGGTTAGGTTTCGGTGAACTTCTAGAGTGAACGTCGGAGGATTACTGGGTATACTGGGATAATGGAAAAGAAAATGGAAACTCCCATAGTCTTATAGGGGCTATATAGGGTTCTTAGGGGAATATATGCGTGAAATCCACACACTGCTTTGCGTCAAGGAGTACCCTTTCAAGCTTGCTAGGTGAAAGTGAGATAAAGTGAGTAAATGCCATAAACACATGGAGGTTTGAGGCTTCGCCAAGAAACCTGGTGGCTGGGGAACAACCCTCCAGTGTCAGGGCAAATGAAGAGTTCGAAGGATTGACAAATCCTTGCATGTCCTTTCAAAAAAACAATCAACCAACTCTAATACATTCCAAACAAAAACAACCCACTCTCACCTTTGCCAAGCCCTTCTCCTTCAAATCCTAAATGGTAATTTCCCGAAACAGGGGACCCCAATATAGACCTCAAGCTACCATAATCCTTATTATGGGGATCCCCAAAAGGGTCCTGCAAATACTGGGAAGCCAAAAACCCAAAACCTCAACCCTATATATCCGCCTAAAACCCCTATATAGCCCCTATTATACTATAGGAGTTTCCATTTTCCATTATCCCATTATACCCATTATTGGTAACTCAATTCCTAAAGCTATAGTCCCCCTTAAGTAGATAGAGTATGGCTTTGGGTATATTATACTAGGACCCCCATATATCCCATATTCTATCTACTTAAGGGGGACTCTAACCCTAAACCCTAATCCCTAGACCCTAAACCCTAAACAGTAGTTTCCATTTGCTTTTCCACTATGCCAATATATCCCTATATATAACCCTACTTAAGGGGGACTGTAACCCCCCTGTGTGGCTCTCAGGATGCTGCCCAGCTCTGCCGGGCTCGTCGTCACCGTGCGTATCGACGTCCTCAAGGAGCTGGAGGCAGGAGCCACGGCTTTGAGTCTTTCCCTCGGCTTTGGGGTGCTTGCGGGGCGGGGGGGCGGGGGGTGGGTGTAAGGTTACGCCACTGAGGTTTCCGATTTCGGGGGGTTTCCACTTTTGAGGTGTAGGGTCGAGGCTTTTGGCTTTGGGAGAGTAGAGTTTACGGGCGTTGCTGGTCCCAAATGTACTAGCGTGTACTTCTAGTAGTTTTATCAGTTTTATCTGCGCTGGAAAAGGAAGGGGGCTGTAACTTTGAGGAAGGTGGTGCCTGAATTGAATTCCAGCCAGGGCTATGTTGCGAAATGCATGCAAAACCCTTTCAACACATCGGCCCTTAATGTCAAGCATGGCCCAAGTCGTCCACGCCTCCACGCCTCGCACGAGTAGGATTCCGAGGATGCAGGTAATTATGGCAGTGAGAGCAGCTGATAGCAGCTGGGGTCAGATCTTGTGATACACTGTACGTAGCCCTCCTTGCGCTGAAACAGACCTGACACAGGCCGTGGTGTGTTCTTCCCAACCGCCCCCTAATAAACCTTCCCTCCTGATGGTAAATACTCCTTCGTACATTTGGCATATTTCGTATTAGGGGATGCGGGGTTGAATATCAGGGGGGATTTCGTCTGTAGTGTTGTTTGGGTACTGCCCCCACTCATTAACAGTTGGATAAAATTTATAATATCATTATGTATATAGCCCTGAATATGACCCTATTATCGACCGTTAATGGGTGGGGGCAGGACCCAAATTGCTGCCACTGAGCGTACAGATTCAACGACAGGTGAAGCTCATCACAGCGGCGACACCTGGCGAGGCCTCGGAAGAACAAGAGCAGATATATTGGGATATCTATTGGGATTATACATTTGGGCTATATATTGGGGCTATATATTGGGATTATATATTAGGGGTATGTATTTAGGTTATATATTAGGGTTTCCCAAAACTAGGGGTTCATGAAACGGCACTGGGACTTATACTGAAAAAGTGCCCTCAGTTTGAGCAAGTTTGAGTTTGACTGCAGATGTGCATCTGGCCGCATGCCGCTTTGCTTGCTTGAATGAGTATGTCAACCATATACCGCATACCCACTCCTCCATACCTCAATCAACATTAACATGGACGCAAAGCATCCAATTGACTAAAATCATGGCTTCAGGTCTGGGCGCTGGAGAAGACCAGCAGCCGAGACGCTGAGGCGGTGATTCCCTGGCGTCCACCTAGGGAGTTCTGAGGGTTAGAGTAGTTTCGTGTTTAAGCTTTATGGTTTAAGGCTTAAGGTTTACGGCTTCGGGGCTCCTTCAATTCAAGCTTCTAGGATCTTCTACAGGGGCGACAAGGAGACGATGGGGGGTTTTGGGCTATCAGAGAGTTGCTCAGTTCATTGGTCCCAAGTGTTTTTGCGACATTCCAATCCAAAGGGAACCCTTGCATGCTGGGACTCAAGTTGGCCTTGTTGGGGTGAGCCTCAAGTCCATCTTGAGAGCATAACCTTTCCTATGATGTTGATCAGTATCATCATCTTCAGCGATTCCAGAAAGGGTTTTGATCCTTGCTATTGCTGTGGTTGGGCTCTGTCGCTTTGACCGCGACAGCAGCAAACAATCAAATATCAGAAATGTTCTTCTTCCTGCTTCCTCCAAAGTGGCTCGCCAGCAGCTGCATGTCACCTAGATCAGCCTGGAAGTCACGTGCGGTCTAGGCTTGGTAGCGAAGCCGTGGCAGGTCAAGAAGGTCAGCTTGGGAAGCGAGGCTCTTTCCCAAGGGTGCGGGTGCCCAGGGCTAGTCTTCAGCCGCTTACCTGTTGCGGGCATGTGAAAACTGCTCGCCAGCAGGGCAGGAGGGAGGCATTAGGCTCTTGCTTGCAGTTGCAGACTGACATTGGGAGAGTGATCGCGTGCAATGGCCAGCAGATCCATCACAACCAGATCACGAGCCCGCATTAATTTGATGTGCTCAGGTTCCTGGCAGGCAACAAGGTTGGGTATCCAGAAATGAGTGACCTGTGAATCATGCCTGCATGCACTTCTCCGCAAGGTCTTCTGCAGCTGTTGCGAGTGGGGGGGGGGGAGCAGAGGAGAGATTGCTAGAGCGGCAACAAGATTAGTTGAGCGAATCATCATGGACTTGAGACTCCTTCAGGTGCGGATGCTCAACTTTACCAAGACACCGCACATGAGTTCGCTGGCCAGGGCCTTGCACCTGAAATGGCGCAAGCTTCCATTTCCAGTCATCAGGTTTCTTGGGACGAAAAGACTCCAGCGTTTCGTGTTCGATTGCTTACGTGGACTTGAAAACGAGACGCTTCCCACAATCGAGGTCCTCATAGTAAGGTCCCTGAAGTGTAGGATCTTTGATAGATGGCCTCGCTGAAAGCAAGAGTACCCAGAATTTAGGACCCCAAGCCCGCGAGCTTTTCGTTTCTGCTGTACTCATGGCTGACCTATGTTCTAGGCCCCAAAGCCAGGGTTTAGCATTTCTCTCTCAGGGGAAAGGCATTCAGACGACCTGGCGCAAGAAGGAAAGCAAGTCGCAGACCTTGGACGCCTGAAGCCGAGGGCCGATAAATCTTTGAGATTTAAAGAATATGAAGCAGTAATTCTTAGTAGTAACAATGGTAGTCAGAATAGTAATATTTGTATAAGTAATACTAGCAATACTAGTAATGCCAGGGATACTAGTAATACTAGTAATCATAGCAACGATAGTGCTGACAATAGTAAGAGTAACAATAGTTATGATCGTAATGCTAGATTTAACAGTTATGATAGTAATGATATCATGAAAGGTCATAATGACAATAATAAAGATGGTAATACTCGTTATGATCGTAGTACTGCTTACTAGTACTAGTGGTAAGACTCTCCTGGAACAACTTGAAAAGATCTGGCTTGATCGGTATCCACGGAGCGTTTGCGCTCAGGATTTTGCCAGAGCCTTGGACTGTCTCCAAAACGGAAGCGGCCCTGCCGGCAGAGACTTGAGCCGTTTGACCAAGTATCCATTCTGAAATGTGGAATTGCATAGGAATGCAGGTGTATAAGCAGATTGGGCTGCGGTGAGTGCCGGGGATTGCTGGCTTGGTTCTTTTCAAGATTGTGAACTGCCCTTCGTGGCTCCTCCCCTTACGCTGAGAAAAAATATATGTAGGGATCCCATACTAGATGTTGACTGGTATTGTCTGCAAGCAGTCTCATTATCTGCTGCAAGAACCTGCGCTGCTTCTTCTGTCCGGAGATGCTTCTTCACAAGGCGATCGACGCCACTCGGTCTGCGTCGCTGATGGTCCGAAGCCAGTGGCGGTCAGACTCTATGGAGGTGCACCGAGCAACAGCAGGAAACAGAGAAACACCCATCTTGGTGATCGGCTGCATCAAAACAGGGATGCTCCTTCAGTTTTGTTATCTGTCCGTTTGATACCTGACTGGTGTGTGTGTGTGACACCTTGTAGGTTTGACAATCTGTGCCCTTCAAAATCCCAACTGCTTCCGCTGTGATGTTGCCATCATTGAGAGTTTGTGGGGGGATAGCTAAGAGCCATTACTGCAGCAGAAGTCCAAGGGCAGCAGCCTGCGTCTGAGTGAAGTGGGCCTTGTTGACATGTCCTCCTGTGAAGCAACTCCTAAGCCCTAAAGTTGTGGGCCAGGTGGCAAATACCACCGCAGCTTGGCTGCAGTGCTATGCAGCGTGGTGCAGAGCTATGCTCAGGGTTCTCAATCAGGTTATTGGGTGGGGCTTTTGGGGTTTAACGGTTTCAGGTCTGGTGCGGATATTTCAGGTCCAGCTCTGGGTCACGTATAAATAGCATTGGTAACAGCAATGCAGAAGCTGCGGAAATACAGCAAATCCGTAGTAGTAAGATCACAAAGCACTCACTAACATAATTAGATCCCTTTAGAACACATGAGCTTCCTTGCGAGCTGTTGACATGTGAGCTTCTGACATGTGAGGTTTTGACATGTTGCCTGTGAGCCAGCTTCAGGAGTTTCAGGATTACTGGAAAGTTGGGATCTGGATTTAGGTGTGGCATTTAGGGTTCGAATTTGGGCTTTGGGATTTGAGGCTTGGACTCAGGGTGTGTAGGGTTTGGGGCTTGGGAATTTAGGGTTGAGGCTGAGGGTGCTTTGGGGTTGGGAGGCGGGTGGGTCGAGGGTTGTGGATTCAGGGTTGATGGTTCAGGGGTTGAGGTTTGAGCTTTGGGTTCAGGGGTTTTGACTTGAGATTTGCATTTTGGGCTTTAGGGTTTGTGTCTGAGGATGGATTTACGGCTTGGGGGGTTGCTTTGGGGTCAAGGTTCGGGATTTAGGGAGAGTTTGGGATTAAGATTTAGACTTCGGGGGTTTGGGCGTGAGGCTCGGAATTTATGGAGAGATTGGTGGTTTGGATTTAGGGTTTGGGACTGAGGGTTTGGGTTTAGGGTTCACGGTTTTTGATGTGGCGCAGTGGCAGCGATGCTTAGATTTACAATGTCGTGTTGAGTGCATCGTTGCTTTCGGGGGAGTTTGGGTGTGGGGATTGAGTGTGGGATTTAGGCTTTGGGATTTGAGCGTCGGAGGGTCCATGATGTAGGCTTCGAGCCTTGAGACTTTAGGGTTAGGGGTGGGAACTTACTTTATATAAGGTTATGACCGCGGGTGCTTTGGGGTTGAGGTGGGGCTGTTGGATTCAGGGTTGCAGGTTGTGGGGTTGAGGGTGTAGGGTTTCGGTTTAGGATGTAGTTTTTTTTTCTTTTTTTAGATTTCAGGTTTGCATGTTCGGAGTAGTGCGTTTCGAGGCCCTGGCAATCTGCACCTGCAGGTTTGGAAAAGGAAAAGGGCCTCATGGAAACCCAAAGCCCAAGTTCAGGTAGAAATCCAGAGACACTCTGACAAATCCTGACTGCGTTTGAGGCCCTGGCAAAACGAAATCCCTGGTTTCGCAAGAGCAGCTCATGACAACCCGCAAACCCGAACGGACACGCCGACCACGCAACAACCACGCAGGAAAAACTGCGACGATGTGGACTTTCCACTTAGGTCCCATATGATAGGCTATTGCAGTGAGAGATGCCGGTGAGATGGCCAACCACGTTTTGATCCCAAGCTAAAAGCGAAAAGCTTTGACGGCTGCCTCCCACAAAGCCCAGTATTCTGTACTTAGCAGTTCACAAATTATGTAAAGACTCCTAATATCATTTCAGGCGTGTTCGGTAATTACAGGAAAGCGGGCTATCTGGATACAACCTGCCCGTGTCCTGAGATTGGCGCGAAAGCTCAGTATCCCTTGCTTGAGAAAAATCTATTTCAAAATGCTTAAAAGACCACGAACATTGTTTCAGGTTATATCCCGACCATATCACACACAAGATTGGGTTTCAAGTGTTCACTCAATCTGTTCCTTTAGAACAACTCCCTCCCCGTAGGGTGCCTCATTGGGTGGTCCTGGGGCTCTCTGGACGTGCGTTTTGTTTGCTTCGCTGGTATGAAGGGTGGAAGTTCGGTTTCTGGAGACGGAATCGGCAGTTTCCATAAGCCCCAAAATGCACTCTTCGGAACCCGAAACGCGACATCCAAAAATCCAAAACGCGGCATGCTTTTGATAACAAAACAAACGTGCTCCCACCTAAATGATGGACCTGAGATCAACAACGCCCATGGAGGCCCAGGAGATTCCAATAGCACAGTCCGCAGTTTGTCATGCCCCCATTAGCGGCTCATTGTTGAAGACCGGTACCCCATTCTGCGACTTGAAGGCCATGTTCCTGTGCCGAATCCACGTAGAGGGCTTGGTGCATGGGGACAGGGTAGTTGGGACGAGGAGACCAGAGGTTTACGTGTATTCATCAATGGTTGCGTCTGACATCGGGGACTATCCTCTGACTCAACAGCCTCACAGTGTCACAACAAAACGTGTATAGACAGAACGATAATAAGTGAGTCCGTGTAAAGGCGGATTCTGAATCCGGATCATGTTTGCTTGCCACAGGCCTGTTGGTGGCGCTTAACGTATCTTAACGACCTCTGAGAGATGAAAACTAAAAAAACACTGCGCCGCCAGAGCTCCAGCCTTCAGCTTCAGGCTTTGGATGGAGCTCGCCGCTGGACCTTGGAGGCTTTGCGCCTTGTTTGTGATGCGATGTTAGCAAGAAAAGACAGTTTCATATTATGGCAAGAAAGACCGCAGAACTTGGGCAGGTTGGTCGAAGCACGACTTACACGGTCCTCGAGTGACAGGCGCTTCCTGGAGTCATGTCTAGGTGTCGTAGTTCCTTAATGTTGGCAGCCGCTGGAGCGTTAACAGATTTTCATTGCTCCCCTGCTTGCATCTGCCCTGTCCTGAGCATGCAGAAGGCTGTGATCCGTTAAGGCATCTCAGATTTGGCCCAACACAGGCGCCCTGGAAGAAGGTTCGTGAGCCAGGGCCTGTGGCATGCCTTGTGACGTATACAACAACTGTGACAGCTGATGCCTTGTGTTTTTAAGGAGGATGCAATGATGCAAAGCCAGAAGTTGTGTACAAATAGCGTTCGTCGTAAGCGACAGGCTGTTTCACCCTACCTGCCTGGCAGTGAGTCCATTATGCCTTCAGCCAGGATGCACGATTTGCCTTACACTGGACTTGGTTCTTGAGATAGGATAATTTTCGAAAAGCAGAAGCCAAAGCTTAGCATGCCACATTCCTTATCGCAACTGTCCAGGAAGGCTCGTGTTTTCCAGAAGGGCAAGCTTACAGAGCCTTCGCTGGAAGCAAGAAAGTGCCGGCAGTCTTGCAAACAGCAGCATGAGGGCCACTTGTCCAGTTGCAGTTGGTATGCTACAATAGAATTCAATAGAAGATGGACTGTTCCCGTCCCCACGACGTCTGGCAGACTCCAACCGGAAGCTATGTAGCTGCCGCCTTTTGTGTAAGTACTCTGAGCATTGCTGCCGCCTCTCTTAGACTCGAGTGGAGGCTCTGAGGGCGGTGTTTGACCGACCACATTTTTTCAGATCCGCTGGATAAAGCAGCAGCAGCATTGCGATGTAGTGCCCGCATCGCACACAAGCAGTTCCAGCCTGGAGCCTGTAGTCGATGCAGACAGCCTTTTGGAACTGGTTGGCTGCTAGTTGTCATAGGTATTGAAATCTCGCCAGTGTCCTCTGCCAAGTCCTTCAACTGATGGCATGCGCATCGGCTATGGGATCTCAATCCACAGCATTAGCGCCCACGGAGCCTTGCTTTGATATGAGAGAATACATCCCAACTTGCTGACAAGCCTGAAAGATTGGAGATCGAACAAGGCGAAGCACCCTGCTCTCGCTAGTCATGCCAATGACACTGCACCAGTCTATGTCCATTGTGCCTCGCAAAGCTCGGCCCAAGATCCCTGTTCACTTCATGGACGCATCCCGACATTGGTAGCTAGAAGTATACAGTGGGTGGTCCAGATCACAAGGGCAAATCAAGAGCAGGGCCGGGCCGCGAAGCCGTGACAGCAGATCAGGTGCCAAAGGATGCCACCTGGAGACAGGATGACTTCTCGCTTCAAAGAAATCAACCATTCCGATCTGCGGGCCAGCTCAGTCAAGGGCAGGGATTTTCGCAATTGGGTTTTCATGACACCAGCCAAAAAATTATCCTAGATGTGTTTCTGGCTCATGCATCCTCCTCGGGGAACGTTTTCCTTGAAAGCCACCTGGGGCCATGGGAGCCAGAGTACGTTGTAGGAAATTGTCCAGGTTCCCTTGCTAGCGTCTCAGGTTCATAGTTCACGCATGTCTGGCTTCTTCATGTGCAGCGCCCTCGACCTCAGGCTCCAGGCATTGGAGTAGTTTAGGGATGGCCTATAGTGTGTTGAGGAAGATGCGGCCAGCAATTGCTCACAAAGTAGCAAGTGCCTGATAGAATGTCAGCAGCATCTCAACCCATACGGTCAACTTGCCTTTTTGGTTGAGTTGGGAGCCGCTGTAGCTTTGACATCCTTATTTGCAGACGTTCGGCTGCAATGGCAGTCGGCGACTCAGTTTTGCCGGGGTTTGCCGGCAATGGTGAGGTTTGGCGGAGGGGTGTTGTTCACATGTTTCATCTGTCACTTGCAAACCTGCTTCATTATCAGTATGCGAAGACGCCTTCCCCTGTTTGTAAGGTATCCCCACTACATACCACATCTCCATTTTTCCAGTCAAGCATTAGAAGAAAAGGGTTGCGTAGGCCCAAGATGGTGAGAACGATTGGGATCCAATAGTAAAACAAGAGCTCTTCACCCTTCTAAAGCCGTTGCTTGGCCGACTTTACACCCCCACCGCCCAAGCTCCCTACACCAGAAGCTGAGGAGGCAGCAGCCTCCCTTGCAGCAGCCAAAGCTGCTCTGGCCGAGGCAGAGCCTAAGTTTGGTCAGACAAGGGGGCTAGAGTAGATGAGTAGATGCAAGGGATATCGAGGGATATGAGGAGATCTCACTTGTGATACTTCAAGCTCTTTTTCGGTATCCGAAGTCCAGCTTTAAGACTTCTCGGCATTAGTGCTTCATGAGGGTTTGGGCATGCATGAGTTGGGTCTCCGGAGCTGCTGCAAGCTGCATCAGGACTTGATTTGCCGTGCGTCTGATGTCCTAGTTTACACCTTTCCAGCCGAATTGTCGGTTTCGCAAGATTGCCCCCACATTTGCTTCGATTGCACTCCTTCGGACATTGGCAGTTGATTCCTATTTCCAACCTTTCTTTAAAAGAAGTTATGGCTTGAAGTGTTTGGAGAGCGATCCTTTAAGCACCTCCTTGGCACAGGCTGCCTACGATGAGGCCCTGGTTAAGGCCGATGAGGCAATAGCTGCGTGCAAGCCCCGGTCAACAGGTTTGGGCCGCACAGGGCACGCGGGGTCTGGATAAGCCTTGCCAGCAGTCAAGGTGAGTGACTAGCACCGTTGCATTCTTTCCAACCGAACAGTCTGCCACTCTTCACAAAACAACTGCTCTCTATGGCCCTAGGTTCCAGAAAGCTGGGAACCAGCAGATGCAGAGTCAGGCCATGAGCACGAAGAGCTTTGTCAGCAGGAGTCGCAATTTTCCAGGGCTTTCTGTTTCAGGGGCCTGCTCATGCTTGCTTGCCCTAAGGATCGACATTTACCTCAAGCAGCAGAAGCGGCCTGAAGCACGTGCCGTGGCCGCTGAGGCGGGACATCTCTACTTGCCATCAGGACAGCTGGTGTAAGTCTCTGTTTACAAGAGGAGGCAACATAGAGGAGCCAATGCTCCAAACAATTTGCTGGATAGGAAGGCAATACAACTGGATTGCATTAGGCGGCAGCACTCTTCAAGACCGTCAATGCCGGGGCCTTGGACTGCAACGGCTGATCTTTGCGCTGGTCATCGATGCGGCTATCCCTGTGCTGTGGTAAGAGCTGGGCTGCCATGTGACATGTGGCGCGTCCTAGAATGCACGTCCTGCCCCAGTCCCCAACCTGGAACAGCTGCCCTACCTGGTCCATTCGCCATTCGTGCCCGAGGATCCAAAGAGCGAAGCCAAGGTCGGTGCCGGTTCAGCATGTCAAAATGTTTGGGCGCTGCATACTAGTGGTCGTGCGAGCATTCCCGAGAAAGTGGCATTTTTGCTACCTAATCGAGTGCAACGGTGCAACTGCATCTGACAGGTTTTCAAACAGCAATCAGCCAAGGAATCCTGCTTAAATAAATCCAGGATTCTACAAGGACACTCAGCCTCGAACCCAAGTCATCAGAGTGGCCTGTGCCTGCAGGCGCAGCTGCTGGTAGCCGAGGTTGACTCCTCTGGTTTATTCCAGCATCTCAAAGCGAGTCTCTCAACAAAAAATTGACGGGCCTTCAAGTGGCCTGACATTTCTTCAGCCTTCAGAAGTCCTGGTGGGGGATGATGACTGATGCTGAAGTTACAGCTAAACCACCTGATGCCAGGTATGCACGCAGACGCATCGTTACCAAGAGGCTGGGAGATTCCAGATCGGACCATCAGAAGTGGCTTGCCGGCTGCTTTTAAAGCTTCAGTGTGCAGAGGCGGCTACGGCAGGTCGCGAAGCCCTGCGTCTCGCCAAGGCATCCGGAAGCTTGGGATTCTTGGGAGGTATAAAAGGGAAGAAGGTCCAAGAAGTGGATCCTAGAGAGATGGCTTGCTTCAGGTTGCTGGGGACCGCGCTGGGCAGGCCAGTCTGCGCTTAATCTCGTGTATGCAGCTTACAGCGGTAGCTGCAAATTGCGATGAAAGGATTGCAGTCCAAGCCAGCTGAGAAGACATTCAGAACGTGGGAATGCATTATGGACTCAACGGGCAGTTGTCCAACAAAGATCGAGAAATATGCCCGGTTAGGAGTCGCAGTGGAGTAGGTGATTGTCTGCCCTTCAGCTGCGCAATTTTGTAGACGGCAAAAGCGGGTTTGCACATTTCCGTGCTACATTTCCTCGTGCTGAACGGTCCCTTGTATGGCATGGGTATGCAATGAATCAGCAGCTCAGACGTAAAGTGAGCTGTGTGCCAAACGCTGCAATTTCTTGCAGGCTTTTGCGCTTCTTACCGCTACAAACTTGTGTTCAGCCCTCATGCCTCATGCCTCCAAGACCATTCAGAACCCTTACGCAATCCCGCAGAGCCTTGTAGATGTAGGCCGACAGTAGGCCGACCTTGCACGGAGGCAGATGCCTGGAAGGCCATGGGCGTGGCAGCCATGGAGTTTGATCTGGACAAGGCCAGACGCCGGAGCATGTTGATGGATTCCGTCACCACACCACCATGCTCCCCTTAATCAAGCTTATTTAAGGATCTTCAGGGCTTATTAAATCTAGAGCTGAGCGGCAACCTAAGGGGTAGTACAGTGGAGGTGGTAAGGGAACACAGAACATGTGAAGCGGGAGGGTAACGTGTAATCTTGGCATTGGTCATCATAAAGTCATTGTGCTAGTGATAGCTATAGCAATTGTAAGCGCGACAGGAATAGCAACAACAGTGGCAATCGTAATGGCAACGGTAATTGGTGGTGGTGGTGGTGGTGGTGGTGGTGGTGGTGGTGGTGGTGGTTGTGGTGGTGGGGGTGGTGGGGGTGGTGGGGGTGGTGGGGGTGGTGGGGGTGGTGGGGGTGGCAGCGGCAGCGGCGGGAGTGACGGCGGTGGGCGGTGGACGGTGGACGGTGCCGGTGCTGCTGGAGGAGGCGGTGGTGGCGGCGGGGGTGCTGGTGCTAGTGGCGTTGGTTGCTAAGTGCTCGTGCTGCTGGTGGTGCCGCTGGCAGTGGCAGTGGCCGTTTGTGTGCGTGAGCAGATGAGCTCTGCTTACAGGCGAACACGTCAGCTAGCTCGCAAAGGTCCTACATGCAACAAAATAGAATTCCCGTCACACAGGCCCTGGCCGCGTGGCAGGAGAGCTGACGGTGTTTGCCTGTCCTTGGAACCACATTCGCATTTGCCTGTGTGAGACGGTGAAGCTGTATCTGAAGCGCCGTGCAGCAGCCTCAGGAGCTCGCCAAGCTGGCCAAGGAGCTCCGAGAACCAGCGCAGGAGGCCAGCCTGGCCAGTGCAAAGCTTTTTCCAATCAATTTGACAAGGTGCAGGGGAGGACTTCACGGTTCCGAGGATGCTTGACGAGAAGTTCTTGTTCAGTGGCACATGCTTGGGTTACGAACCTTTTCCACCCAGGTTATTCTTGGCCCAAGCATAGCGGCATCGTGAATTGCCGGTGTTTTTCAGTCCGCTGTTGGAACCTACTGAGACCCCTAGAACACCGGGTCAGCAGACGTTGTCTCCAATAGTTAGCCCCAAGGAAGTCGCAGAATAGTTCCACCAGCGGACACATTTAGATTTGACTGGGCTCTTGTTGAACAACCTGTTGCATTTTGAAGTATGCCTGGGCCCAGTGTAGATTAACAATGATCATGCTTAATAGCATTTCAACAAGAACCCCAGTTGAGAGCAGCAGCAGCTCCGGGTTGGGAGCTGAAGCGTGTGTGTTCCTTACAATTATGGAGCCGATGAAACAACCAGAACATGCGGATCAGCCGTCTGATGCGGAAAGTGGGTGCAAGGATTCCGGCGAAGTCCTTGAAGACTCGGACGTTACCATAGCATCTTCGTCAGTACCAACAAGCCTGGAAGAGTGCAACGATGCTCAGCCTGGAGTGCGCCAGTGGGCCACGGTTCTTTTGGGGCTTGTGGTGACTGTGCTGTTCTCCGGGCCAATTTTCGGCTGGGCTTCGTGGCAGCCCCTGCTAGAGGAGGACGGAGTGTACCGGGATCTCTGCGAGGACGAGCCGCTCTGCGAAGAACGGAGCAGCCGCATGGTCCTTCTGTACACCGTGGGGCAGATGGCAGCGATCATCAGCCTGGCCCTGGTCAGCTTTGTGACAGACCGAGCTGGGCCACTCTTTCTGATTGCAGTGGGCGGCCTACTGGGCTCTGTAGGCTTGTTTGTTATGGGCCGGGCCGACGGCTCCAGCGGCACAAGCGGCGTTGTGGACGTCATGGGCCTCTCCACGGTTTTGATTGGTGCAGGAGGCTCCTCTCTCATCATGCATGCTTTCAAGCTGGCCTTCATCGTCCAGCCGCGCTATTTCCCGTTGGTCATGACATTCTCAAACTGCCTCATTGATGCCTCGGCCGTGATTCCCATCGGCTTCTACCAGGCTTATCGCCAAAAAGTGCCGCGCTTCACCATGTTTGGGTTCTATGGCACTCTGCCTGGCATTGTCCTGCTTGCCGTCTGGTCTGGAGCTCCGCTGAGGACGCTCGAGGCCCGCAACGCCAAGGAGCTTCGGGCCCTGGAGGCTGAGGCTGCGGGCTCCTCCGACTCTAAGCACCCAAGACTTCACGGCCTGCCGGTGAGACGCCAATGTGCGAGTCTGGAGTTTGCCTTCGCCTTGGTGCTCTTCACCACGCAAGTGTTTAGTTCAAATAGCTATTTGGGCTTCAACAAGCTTTTGCTCGAGTCCCTAGGCGATGCGGAGACGGACTATACTTATGTTCAGATCTTTACAGCTCTGCTTCCAGCTTCCTCGTTATTCGCACCGCTGTACAGCTTGCTCCTTTCCAAACAAGGCTTTGCGGTGACATTTTTTGTGGTGATATTCCTGAACATTGTCTGGAACTCGGTGGCGCTGGTACCATCCCTCCAACTGCAACTCGTAGGATTCTTCGCCTTCACCAATTACCGGGCTTTGCTGTACTCTGCAGCCTTCTCTTTCCTTGGGCATACGTTTGGGAATCGAACGTTTGGCACCATCAATGGCTTGTGCTCGTTAGTGATAGGCAGCGTCTCCTTCCTGATCTGGCCGTGCTCGGACCTCTCACAGCGGCTCTTCGGTAGGGTCTCGGCCATGAGTGTTCTCCTGCTACTTCTCTGCTTGCCGCTGATCCTGATGACCTTTCGCCTAGCACGGCACCTGCGGAAATATCCTTCGGGAGACGTTTGCCCACGCTGAGCGCCGAGCGCTGAGCGCTAGCGCCACGGACAGAGCCAAAGAGCTTCGAATTTGCAGAGCTGGCTTGCATGGGCAGACGAGATGCAACTGGCCACACGGATGCCATCGACTGCCTGTGTCTGGCAAGCACATTACACTGCTGCAGCAGTGCGGCACACGCCCGAGCCTTGGGAAAGGAAGTCTAAGCTGATTGTGCATAATATGACACCCACACAGATGCAGTTTCCCGCGTCAACTGATTAGACAAAGCTGCAATTGGTACAACCCACTCCCGAGCCCGAATGTACGTGCGCCTCCAGGCGGCCGCTTACATGGGCATGGCCCGCGCACGGCTCTCTCGACTTAGCTCCTGGGCTGGAGAACATGTGAGTGCTCACGCAATCCGATCTTTTGGTAGCTGCAAAGTAACTACAATGGCCAGCTGTGTCAATGTTCGGCCTTTGCAGAATCTCCACCCCGTGCATCCCGAAGTCATCCACTTGAGTACTTCAAGCCGAAAGGGATTGAGCAAGACTCCAAGACTCCCAAAGCATGATAGGGCGTGCTGCCTCGAATCGCGTTTCTCGCATCTCAGTTTTGGCGGGGTGCTCACACCACTGCTAGCCTACTCTCAGATGCTGTCAGATAGAAGCAAGTGTTTTGCCTTAACAAAATCGAAGAATCACATTGAAGAAGCCTGAGCAGTGCCATCTGAAGCAGGCAAAAAGCTTGGCACATGCGCGGTGGCCGATCGCGATGACAGCATTGAAGCGCTTCGTGCAGCCAAGGACCGAACAGATGCCATCTGGTGTAGAACAAACGGTTCAGGAAAATTGAATTTACAACGATCCTGCTCCAAGGCTAGGGTTACGATGGCGGATGATGACTACCTGTCAATCTGGATTTGTGGTTCATTTGGCAGAGTGCAGTCCACACGCCTTCAGACCAAAGCCAGCAGTGGTTCCTTGACACCTTATCAGTGCATGTTGAGGATGCCCATAGTTTGTTTGCTGCTTCGGGCAACGCTGTGGAGCAGGCGGGGGATAGCTAAGCTCTAAGCAGCTCAGACTTCTGGGCCAACGCGAGGTGGCAACATGCTCTGTCTCGGCGGGGTTGCAAAACATGCAATGATTACTCCTAGAAGTCTTCGAGGAAGTGTACCTTGAGCCAACTGTAGCTACTGGCCTCGCTTTAGCTGCGCTCTGTTCTCAACAGACCCAGCCAGAGGAGGCCCTAAGCACGGTACTCTAGAAAAGCTAACAGAAGCATGTCATTGGGATTAAGCAGACCTTGGTTTTGTGACGGTCAGATGTCGGATGATGTTAAGATCTTGCCGCTCAGACCACCGCGCTGCAGCTCGTTGCACGGGTTCTGCTATTCAACGGCGTGCACCCAGATGTCGTAGAGGTCGGACGCTGGAAGTGCTGCTGTGCGGGCCCGGCTGCTGGGGTGTCACTTGAATGAGGCGAGCGGCGACCCCTCAGAGATCTTTGCACAAGTCATGAGCCAGTAGCCGAGCATTTCATCTTGCGAGCCTCTTCTCGACCATAGCACGGTTCTCTGCATCGGTACTGCAAAGAGATGCTGAAGCCAAGGTGGCAAGTATACGAGTTCAAAGAACGCATTGCCCGCTAAGCCGAATGTGCCGCTGCCGAAGCAGCTTGGCCAAACGACAGTCCATCTTTCGTCTTACTGCCTTCTGATGTTCTTCTCATCTGTTTGCCGCTGGTCGCTCATTTGGCCTCGTGCAACACTTCATGTGGTGTCAGGCACAGCCGGTCAGTGTGCATTCTTGGAGCTTCACTTGGATTCGCGCACATGCCTGTAGCATAGTCGCCAACCCTGCGCAACATAACTTGCATCTTTTTAAAAGGCATTGTAAAAAGACCCGAGCCAATTGCCGCTCAGTCCTAGATTGACGGCTTCCGGGCACCTGAGCATGTCTTGATGCAAAGGTTAGAAGAAGCTGTGCCTGACAGCAAGCAGTCTGCATCCCAGCAAAGGCTCCATTGATGTATGGCCATGTAACATGTAAGACCGTTCTTACGAAGACCAGTGCATCCAAGGCTGGATCGCGGCAAGTTTGGGTGGCGGAATCCTATCGCATCGGTCTTAGACTTGTAAAGAGCGAAAGCCCTGGCATAGAGCGGAATCGTCCTGAAGTGCAGCCCAAAGCCCCGCGAGGCTGGATACTGCTACACTGTGGTGTGGCAGCCAACAAAGGACCGAAACATCGGCAACAAACAGCAGAGGGCTTGGAAGCTTGCTTCACACATCTCATGGTCATATTCCGCGGAAAGTCCTTGCTTCCTTTGAGGGCGCGTGGGCAGTACGACATCCTCACTCTCAGAAGCGGCAGGGCGCCAAGACCATCTGGTGGCAGAAATAGGATTTCTGCCGGGATGGCCAGTATCTACGGAGAACTAGGAAGCTGATTGTACTGGTATGCAGAGATTCTTGATCGCCTGGTCATCCTTGGTCTATCATGCCAAGGCTACAAGCACAATGCCGTCCCCACAGCGGTTGGCCTGCGGTCGAACGATGCTTCTGAGAGGAGAGAATGTACAGTTAGACGTCTGTCAAAATGCAATGTCAACCACCGCTTGAAGGGTGAAGAAGTGAATGTGAACAGGAATGAGCACATGATGGTGTTCATGACGACCCAGGACCATGCCTTGAATTATGCCGCAGCCTGAGCAGCTATGCTTGTGACAGAGCTAAAACGCATTCCAATGCTGGATTCCCATGGAAGCTGAAGCTGAAAGGATCTCGTTTGAGAATGCATTGGGCCACAGCTTACTAGTTCTTGGTAGGGAATCAGGAAATATACCCCATGTATCATCCCTACATAACTTTTTACCTAATTTTTACTGAGAACTACGAAGACAGTGCTTTGCTAAGTCCGCAACTGTGATGAATGTCCAGCACACTATTGGAGGAGTGTCAAGAGCTCAGCGAATGCTCTTGCTTGGCATCTGATGCATGTAGCAACAGCCAAATGGGCACGTCTCTCTGAGGGTCGCCGCGAATTGTCGTAAACTCGTCTTCGTGCAATTTGGTGAGCCGCGGCCCTGGTGGTCCTAAGTCCTAAGTTTTGAAGTTCCGAGGCTGACATCCCAAGTGCGGGATGGGTACCTCTGCTTGCCTGAAGAAGTGACACCTGAAAACTCAACTCTATCAACGACTATATAAACTAGCAAGCAAAGCAGCTTTTCGGCTAAAAACGCCTAAGCAAAGGGGGTGGACAAGAAGATGTGGGCCTGCTCAACTGTTAACTCTCGGGGTGCACGCCGCGGCAGCATGGACGCCAGATACGAGTGGTTTAAGACCCAAAGCCTATACGCTTTGACACATGACATCGCACGAGTCAAAGGTCTTTCTTCGATTGGACCGACACCTCGGCCCGCACCGTGGAGATGCACTCGCTGACCCTCGGGCTGCTGAGGTCCATGGTGTAGGGCCACGCCATGAGGAACACATCATGTATTTGAATCATCTAATGGTTTCCTTGGTTTAGACTAAAGGATGCCTCCCAATGGTTTTCTAGACTCCTCCCAAGGATGGGGTAAGCAGTTCAGGCTCCAAGATGGTTGCTAAAGCCCTTTGTCAAGCCACTCAGGCTTGACACTTACAGAACATAGCCCGATGTGCGTGTGCCTAGCAAACCTGAGAGTCTAGCCGGGTGGATGAGCAAGTTGGAATTTCCTCGCTCATGAGGCTTGAAATCCAGACTTGTATGACATCATTGGTGGCGAAAGGATTCATAGAAAGGTGAGCCTACCAGGTAACTTTGCGCGAGGGGTGTCAGCAAATTTGCAACAAACTTGCATCAGGATCTGGAATTATCGATGGCAAGAGTCAGGATTACTCTAGGCGCCGAAGAATAAAAATGAGAGAGGACCAATGCAAGGAGAGTAGGAACACGAGCAACGGGCAGTAGTATGCGATAGATATATACTACACCTCCCTCTTCCTCCTCTTGCTCTAAACTCAGATACAAGCCACCACGGGAGGTCAGCCAGGATCGAAGCCCCGTTCTTGACCATCGGCTTTGTTGGAGGCCGTGAAAGAGAGTGCTAAGCGCACCAGCCAGCTCTCTCTCTCTCTCTCTCTCTCTCTCTCTGTTTATCTTGGTGAGTTCTGAAACGCTTCAAGGGTGTGCGACTCACTTACCTCAAAGTGGGGAGTTGCAAGCCTTTGTCCCTTGCGTTACGACGCGTCGAAGATTTGCCTGCCTCGACGGGGATCCTAACAGTCTTTTGCAGCCCGAGAAGTGCAGGGGACCTTGCCTCGTGGGCGCAGGACATGGTTGTTGAGCTACGGACCTCGGCATGTACTTAGCCATGCTAGATCTCTGCTCAGAAGCACTCTTCGTGGATAGATTGAAATTGGAAGCAAGCTGAACGTCGTGTCTTGACCAGCGTATCTTTTTGAGCTAGCGGACTGGCAGGACCCAGCTCCCCTCATCGAGTCCATCTTTGACACCATCGAGTCGGCCCATTTGGCAGCACTTCAGGGCCTTGAACTTCAGGGCCATTTCGATTTTATGGTTCGCCACCGTGAACTTTTTCCTAGCCCTAGAAACTGGGGTCCCAAGAATTTTGGAGTCTGCGATCCGTGTTGTGGATTCTGCAAACTGCGAAGAAGGGTATGTGCTGGTAAGGGCCATGTACCAGGGGTGAGCATCTTACCGCTGCAACTTTCAGGCATCATGTGGAGATTTCCAAAAATTAGGGGTACCCTTTTGGGGGTCTCTACAATAAAGACCATAGTATTTGGGATCTATATTGGGGGTCCCCCTATTTTGGGAAACTACCATTTGCATGTCAAAGTGATGGCCGAGGACGAGTGTGAGATCATCTACAGGAATGGCGAGGGTTTCGCACCATCCATGGCAGCGGCCTAAGCATTTCTATAGCATCCCCTGTCTACCAGCATGGCATTGAAGTTGATGAGCTCAATCCTGCGACTCTTGCCCTTGTTACCATGGTCTTGACATGAGACATTCAACTGAGGTGCACAAACCTCTAGAAGAGACGGTCTCCGCCGTCAAGCCTGGAAAAAACGTCCATTACAAAAGGCGGGGAAAGCACGTCCTGTGCCGCATTTGGACGCCCGGCCTCGTGATGCTGCAGGTGACGGAGGAGCCTCGAGAGCTCCCTGTGCCAAGTCTGAGCTTCAACCGCAGATGACAGCTGGCCTGCAGTGCTCTGCTTGTAGCAATCAATGTTTGCAGAAGGTTTTTATCTTGGCCAGCAGAGCAAGTCAGGCATGTTCTTCCATCTCCACTCAGAGCGGTGAGCGGAGTGGCAGAAAGAGGGTGCATTCTGGCAGTCGATTAGGGCTCCTGTTGTCTACAGGGTCAAGATGATATCGTGCTCTTGCAGATCCTGCCTGACTCTGGTGGACTCCTGGCTCACAGAGGACGAGGACCCTGAAATTTGGGACAGATGCAGGGCCATGGAGTCGCTGCTGGCGGCTGGGCCCGCGGTGCCGGAGGCCATTGGTATAACAGTGGTATTCAGAAATTCATGGACGCGGGGCTGGCATAGGTATGTCCCACCTACTTATTTCAGATAAGTGAGCCTGTGGCACGTGAAGCCCCTGAAATTGACACGCACCTGCAGGTGGAGGGCGATAGCCGCAATGACTGCAGCATAAGCTTGCTGCGGAGGCAGGCCCAGGAACAAGTTTTCGTCGGCAGCTGGGGTGAACGTTCGGATACGTACGAGAGCAACCATGGATCCAGTGTGTGCATTTAGGCAGCTTGTAGAGGGGATGAGAGCCCATATGGAGACACAATGAACACCAGTTTCTGTTTTTGTTTACTGATGTATAACGAATACCCTGACATGCTGAGCTTTCTGGACTGGGCCTGCAGCCTTCTCAGGAAGAATCTTCAGCTTGAGTATTGAATTGGATTGGGTTCGTGCTTAACTTACCCAAATACCACAGCTCTCACAGCCCGAAGCCTCCGAGATGGCGGGAAGTCGAGCTGAACTCCCCTGTGAAGCCGGGTGAGCCCGGGCACCCAGCTATTTCAGACATCTTGAGCCTCATTTTTCCATACAGCAAGCGGTTGAGAATTGTGAATGTTGATCGATGCAAGCAGTCACAGCGCAGTATGTCCCACCAGGAGTAGGTGTTGAAGACCTCAGACTCAGGCGGAGCGGCGCGTCCAGTGTGATATACCAGGACCTCTGGCTCACGATTTAAATTGACATCTGACTACGCTTTGTATTTCTGGTGCAGGACGCGCTGTACGTCTTTGGTGGGTATGGTGGAAGTGGTGACGGTCTTAGCACTGGACTATAAACGAGGCCTTCGCCACAGAAGCAAGATCTGTACCATGATGATCTTGGTTAAGTGTGGCCTGTAGAATGCTGAGGTCGGCTAGACGACATCTATCGCTTCAACTTCCCATCTAGGCAGCCTGTTTGGGAGACGTGCATAGAGGTTGCTGTTTGTATACTTCGTTTTATGGCACACGCTATCGTGAGCCATATTGGGGTGCAGACCACACAGAAAGAGAACCTCTGAAGCATTCATACAAGGCCTTGGAAGGAAAGAGACGAGGGACCGCCCTGCAATCCTGAGGGCTAAGAGTGCCAGCAGTGGCAGGGGGGGCGCGGGAGGGCGGGCTCCCAGGGCCGGGGCCTAGAGCCATAGGTAATGATGGTGCGGGCTGAAATGGGAAAATGTTCACAAACGTTCACTGTGGTTTTGTTGCTCAGTGCCGCCCACCATTGCAGCAGGGCAGAGTGGCATGGGCTGGTGGTGGTCGAAGAGTAGAAGACATGTTCAAGGCAAAGGCGGACGTCCGATACGTCCCTGGGTGGTCACAGTCACAGTCGCAAGTGGTTGTGGCTTGAGACCGATATGCGTGGCAGGTACTGGACTCGACTTGATGTCCAAGGCACGGCCGTGGTCTTAGCTGGAAGCAGAGCCATGCCGCGGTGTATGCATCTCACTATTCTCATTAGTCCTCTGTGGCAGTATGCGTCTCACATTTCGTGTAAGGTTCCTGCTGGCCGTGAGAACAACGGTGCTGTTGTCCACGGCAACAAAATGTATTTGCTCCTTGGCTTCAGTCAGTCAACGTCAGCAACTCAACTGGGTTTTGCAAAGCGCGTCCCGGCTGCTGGGAGCGCTGGCAAGGCTTTGTTTGTGCCGTATACGTGGATGTACGTGTCATGTGTGGCATGTGGAGGTTCGGAGGCTACTCCGGCTTCACTTGGTTAAACGACTTTCACAGCTTCAACTTCGACACGAGCACCTGGCAGGCGGTGCCGTGTGGACCTCAGAAGTGCTGAAGCGAGGCTCTAATTGGAAGTGCTACGTTCCAGTATTCTTTCGGAATGCTTCACAATGCCTTGCAGCTTTGGTGTTTCCAAAGTTTCCCCGTGTTCTGTTGCGCTACGAAAGCCATGCCAAGGTCGGGTCACAAAGGCAGCGTGCCTTCAACTCGATTTGGCTACGTGTCAGCTGTGTTGCTGGTCTCAATTAGCATGAGACTATTGGGGTCTGTCTTGCGAAGGACGTCTCTGGATGCGCCCTATTCAAATTCATCAAGTCTTCTCGCCCTGAAAAACATGCAGAACGAGCGCTGTCCACGTCCACATTCCAGCCCTCAGAAAGATGAGGCACGGTGACTTCATGTACGTCTTTGGTGGCTACGATGGCTCGGCGTGGTTGAACGACATGTTTGACTTCGACTTTGAGCGAGGGTCGTCCATCGCTGAGCTGGATAATGCTGTCTGCTGTCTGGTTTCATCATGGTTCATCGCAGGAACGCAAATTCTAGGACTGCACCGAGTTTCACAGAGACGTACTTTCTAATCTTTCTGCAGGGCTGCAGATGCCAAGGTGGTACTCGACACAAGTACAGGGATTTATCCCTTCCGGCAGGAGCTCCTGTATCTGCCTTTTGTGCAAGTTTGTGAAAGCTTTGTTCTGCCTTAGTGAATGCAAGGTTTTCCATGCGTCAAGTCAAAAGCAAGGCTAAGCAAGACCAGGTCATCGTTTGAGGCAGCGATCAAGGGAAGATGCCTGCATGAGGAGTTGTCCGTCATGGGCGACTCACAACGGATCTGTCTTCCTCTTCGGTGGCTACGATGGCTTCTTCCCTGGCAGAAGCATTGAGCAACATCCTATGATGCATGCTGCCTAACCATGAAGAGTCTTACTCACTTCCAACTCTCCGAACAGCAATTTCGGCTCGTGTCATTGTTGTTTCAGCTGTGGAAGGAGGGCCTGTCAGGTTCCCGAAAACGTTTTCCTTTGCGCTCGGAGACATTTGGGTTCCGCGATGCATGTGTCTTCTCGGCTTTCTGTAGAGCAGCTGGAGAGATTGTAGACAAACCGCAATCGCAAGACCCATTAGTTACATTGGTTCACTTGCCAGAAAAGGCCCGGGAGCAACACGACATGAAAGTTTTGCCAAGTTTTTTGAATGAACTCTGGACTCAATGGGTGGCTATGCCATGCTATGCCAAGGCGTGCACCGAATGAACGACTTTCACCAGTTCCGGATGGGCTCCAGGACTGATCGCTCAATCGGGCTGCAAATAATATCAAATAACAACCGCACAAGTTGTTGCTCAAGAGCATGGATCCTTTTTGGGCTGCCCACAAGGGGCTGCATGAGTTGTGGGGCAGACAGGCGCCGTGTGGCTCTTCATGGGTCATGAGTGATCCGCTTGACACACGCAACGCAATTGAAGGACTTGGTCGTCTGTACGGTCAGCTGGGCAGGTGCAATTAACACGCGCCCCAAAGAGAGGGTTGAGGTGAACAAGAACGAGTTGTGGCGCAGGGCATTTGATCAGGATAGCTGAAGCTCAGCAGTCACTTCATTGCTTGTCAGAACTGGCTAACCAATTTTGCTCTGCAGCAGGTGCCGTCTCCGCGCTACTTTCATGCCAGCGTAGCTGCGACCACAGTTCTCTTGAGGCAAGTTATCTTTCTGCGGCAGTCGTCACGGCGCTGTGCCTCTCTCTCTCTCTCTCTGTCTTTGTGTGTGTGTGTGTGTCTCTCTCTCTCTGCGATGGTGAGCCCGATACTTGGGGGGCCGCTCTGTGGGAAACATGCGTAGTGGCTACCAGCAGAAGGAATGCGACATCATTTGCTCGGGTACACAAAAGGCAGTTCAAGAAAGCACCAGCTCAGGTCTATGGTAGCTCGTTATTTCTCTTCGGAGGCTACAGTGGGCAGGCTGAGATTTTACTACTGTGGCTGCTGCGAAAGATGTTGTTGCATCGCAGCATCTTCAAGTGAGCTACCATTGGCAGGAGCGGTTAAACGACCTCTACGAGTTCCGCTTTGATTGCCATACTTGGTACAAAGCTCAGCAAGCCTTGTTTGCAGCCAGACGAGTGATGGTGCTGAGAGGCGTGCACAGCTTCAAGGTCCCTTTCTTGCACGGGTGCTGGGTTGTCATTGTCCTTGCAGGTTTGTGCTAAGCACGGAAGAACCTCCCAGTGGCAGATCATCGCTCGTCGCAGAGGCCAGGATGTGCTACGGAAGCCAGCCACATTGTGCAACTGATTGCGTACTCTTTGTGCAAGTCATACTTCCATCAAGCATGTAGATGATACCAGCGATTGGTATCGGTCGGCCACAAGACAAAGCAGCTCTCAGCCAGCCACAGGTCTTTAACAACTCCTTGTACGTCTTCGGTGGCTACAATGGCAGCATAGCGACTCGAGATGGATCAGAGATTCGGCAGTTTCTGCACGGTCGGCGTTCAGTTTCAAGATGTTGTGAGAAGGACTCAGTCCAGTGCGTTCGGCTCAAAGATGTGAAGATGGATGACGGAATTGAATGCAAGCAACCGAGGACCAGCTTCTGACGTTCAGAGTACGTAAGGAGAAGTCGTGTTGGCATATATAGAATAGATCCATACCGCCAGTTGAGCAAAGGGCAAGTAGTTGGCTCCTCCGCATGGAGCCGCCGAGTGATGCTGTCAGCTTGGCCCTACATCATGCGGTGACCGGCGAAGCTCTGGCAACCTTGGACGAGGTTCAGGCAGAGTGTGGTTGACCTGCCAACATCTAAACCCTGAACCCCAAAAGGTGGGCCTCAACCCTAAGCCCAAGCCACCCTGGATCCTTTCCTTCCAAAGCTTCTCATCGCGAAGCGTAAAGGCTCTTGCGTAGGAGAGAACGAGCTTTGTATGTAACATTGTTGACGTCTTCAGGCCGCTTGTTAGGTTTTTGTGGAGCTCTGTTGGCCCAGGCCTCTTGAAATTGAGTTGCAGGCTTGCTTAATCAAGGCCTAGAAGAAAGCTGAGAAGGGAGTGGAGGGTCTGTGAAGCGCCCACAAGCGGAAGCATGCAAAAGCGATCTTCTGTCAGAGAGCCGAGCAGGCCTGCAGAAGCTCGAACCACCCACTAAAAGGCAACAGGATCATGTCGAAAGATATTATACATTGAATCTTTTACAAAATCCATAGAATCTAAGCAACTGCAGGAGTGCTCCTCCACTGCGGAGCTGCGAGAAAAGGCTGCCTTGGCCCTGGGTATACGTGACAAGAGCGCCTTCCGCAGCTTGGGCGAAGAAATGTGGGAGTCTGGAAGGTCTTCGCATCTCAAATGGCAGGATGATGCAGGATGAAGGTGTTTGTTGCTCCCATGTTGCTTGAAGAGAACTAATTTTCTTTCGCCCAGGCACGCGACCCTCATCCAACCCAAAATCTCATCCAGCAGTGAGGGGGCATCCAACAATGTCACAATTCTTCTCCGAACGACTTAGCCGGGTTTCCTGTAATGATTACGGAGGATCGTGCCGACTTGCTTAGCGCAAATCACATTCGAGTCCTGCTGCTCAGGACTGCTTCTTCGAAGGCTGGAGCTGCAGGATGCTGCCTCATTGACAGATGCAGGACTTCACAGCTTCAGCCTGGCCCAGGGGCTGCCAGGTTGGTTGCATCTGATGATCCACGGTGAACTTTGCAGGACTGCGTGATGGAGACATGTTGCACATGGTCTTCACAGAAGGCACATCGAAGTCTTCAAGGGCATCTTAACTACGATCCACTTTCAGATTGTTTCCTATGGGCCTGAGCCAGCCCCATCTTTCTCACACCAAGTACTGCTAGTGCGCAATTATAGAGATCTCGCTGTTGACATGGCTCCTGGAACTAGCAGGTCTGCGCTTCCTGGCCTGGACTGGAGATGGCGGTGCACAGCTGTGGCGCCTGTCAGGCGCACAGCCACAGAAATTTTGGATTCTGGCATGTGTGGGACTTTCAGGAAGTTGTACCTCCTATTTGAATGGCTGACCTGCTAGGTATGCAGCCCGTGTCCAGCTTGACCACTGGAGAGAAAGTCTGCTCTGCGGCATTTGATCGTCTGAGCAATTCCCTCGCCACCCGAACGGAGACCAGGAGCAAAGTGTGGGCAGCGTAGATGCAGAGAGTGCTTTTCTTATTTACAAAAAAGACACAATGCTGAGACACGTTGCAGAAAAGTCTTGTCTGTTCGGAGCACGAGGATATGACTGGATGTCAGCTCATCTTCGACCAGGAGGCTTGCGTAACGCCATACGAAGCGCATCATGTGTGTATCTGTAATGGTGGACAGCTGCTCGCATTCTGGGCACATGGGCCTGGTGAAGAAGACAATGTCAATCGCCTGCAGATTTGGAATATTCCTGAGATGCGTTGCGTCTGCGAGTGCGCAACTTGCTGCTCTGTTTTTCGCTTCTCCCCAGACTGCAAACGAATTGTTGCCGGCGGCTCCTGGGATGAACCTGCAAGCGTTTGGGAAATCGAGTCTGGCCATCGGATCTGGTCCTTAGGCAGCGGCACGGACGGATTCTTCTCGGATGTGCTTTTCTCGCCCGATGGCACATCAATTGTCATTGCGAGCCGAGAACCAAACTGGGAAGAGATTGACCTCTGGTGTGGCAGGACAGGAGCCTGGTCGAGGGCCTTATGCGGTGGAATCTTCTCCTTGGCATTCTCAGCAAACGGTGAGGAGCTGGCAGGCCTGGATGAAGCACACCGGTATGTCTCCATTGTGAGCATCTCCACAGGTGACGTGCTCCTGTGGTTGAACTTGGCAGAGCTATCTAGCTCTCAATGTGGAGCTGGGGTGCTCCTTCCATACTGCGAAGATTTCTGTCTTGTGGCTGTGTGGGACGAGGAGGGTGTGGTTGCAAGGACTCTTCGCATACGGGCTTCGTTGAAATTCGCAGAGCCAGCATCTAATGACATCACGGGCATTTGCTGAAGCTGATCATCCCACGACTGCACGCCTGGAAAAGGGAACTCGCACTTGGCGTTTCGCAGTGTGTCTCATTCTGGATATTTGGGCTTTCGACAACGTCTACACGAATTGGGTTGGGGAGAGTTTGGAGAGGCTCCCTTCACTGAACAAATGGGTTTGGCGATGTGCTTGCAAGCACCGTGCCTCGGGAGAAGAAATGCGGTACATGCGACGCACAAAGAGGAGAGGAGGCTAAGCTGGCGCAAGGCCGGATTCCTCGGACTATTCCCTCCCCCCGAAATGAATGCTCTTTGTGCCTCGAACGGCCCACATAGATATGTCGCCAGGCGACTTTGGGACAGGACCGCCCATCAGAATCGGTCATGCAGTCACCTTCAACCCTAATGCAACGTTTCGGTTGGGTTGGATTGATCGGACCCGACACGAAGGCTTCGACACTTGTTGGCCTCGGTGGTGTTTTGCATCATGAACGTGCTAAACGGGATGGCGCTAGACTGGTTGTCTGGTTGTGGTGGAGATTTTTCAGCTTCGCTTTAAAGCCTGGGCAAACTGACAAGTTCCCGGAGCTGAGCCACGACCACCTGCAGCACTGCTGACAGAAGTGAGCTTAAACCGAACAGACGGGCCGGCTGGCAGAGAGTCGAAAAAGGCCCGCTCTAGCCTGCTGACGGTCTTACCACCAAGAGACTGTAGGTTTGCTAGAAGCGGTGTTCTTTTGGAAGCTTGGGCCAAGGTATTGAACGATTTTTACGAGTTCAGGTTTGAACCTGTCAGCATACCGCCAGATGCCAAGTGCGTTTCTGACGGCCCCTGCACACTGAAGTACAGCCGGACACCTGCCTAACACACGTAGCATGAATTTGTCGGACAGTGCCTCACAATGCATTGCTATGCTTTGCCTTGTCAAGCCACTTGTACTCATCCTGTCAGCATGCCAAACGGCAGCTGCCGAGGCCGTCGAATCTGGTGGATGATTTGCGAAAGTTGATCAACAACCCAGCATTCGCAGACGCACTTTTCTCAGCGGAGCCCGTGTAGGTAACTTGATGTGTCGAAATGTGTCGAACAGTGTTACGGAGATGCCTTGCAGAAACCTGCCGCAGATTCCAAAGGACTCCCCAGTGACCTCGCTGTAAAGGGCCGATGGGAAGTGCTCTCTGTAATGGAGGCAGATTGACGCAGTGTCACAATGGATGCCCGTAGCCACACAACGGCAGCTGGGGACTGAGGTCACCTTCATAGTTGAGAACCAGTCTGTGTACGCAACGCTGGGGCCTTGACACTGGCGCCTACTTTCTCTCAAGACGACTCTGCAATGCCAAGCAAGTTCAAGTCTGCTCCGCCGGCTGTCGCCCTTTTGCAGGCGTGCACACTTGGCAGCTCGCTCTGAGCACTTCAGAGCACTCTTCTATGGGGGCATGCGTGAGTCGTCTGCAGCCAAGGTCTTCTTGGGTTTGAAGTTTTGGCTATGTATGGCTATGTAGAGGAACCTATTAGCATAGTATACTTAATTATACAGCTTGTAACAGAACAATAATGAGGCCTTCGCAGACTTTTAAGTGCGATCCCCGGCTGTGCCCAGCGAGGTCCGATGCCGAGGAGCAGATCGTGCTTCAAGATGTTGCACACCCCGTCTTCCTCCTGCTGCTGGAGCCCCTTGGCTGACCCAGGTCGAGGGACTGGGGCCCCAGGGCTGCGTGTGCTCATCCTAAGTCGGGAAAAACCCAGCTCCTAATCAATAATGGACACTCAGATGACAAAGCCATGGAAACTGGGTTTGTTTTCCATTTCCTCATTCTACATCCCCGTTCCCTCCATGATACATGATGGGAATCAGCAGCAAGAAGGCCGCGTAATAGCCGCTTGCTCAGGTATATCTACACCGACCAGGCCGGCCGGTGTCGTTAAAGCGCGCGCAGCCTCCATGCCCTTCATTGTACTCAGTCTCTTTCTCTCTATAATATGTTGTGGACATGTTTCTGCCGTAGAATCTTTACAGGAGCGTAGAATGCTTTAGAGTTATATTACCGAGAGAATCCTTTAAGATCCCCCCAGTGCCGATGTAATCCCTGTACATCCGCAGGAACCCTATTCTCCAAGCCCGAAATGCCTGCGCGTACCCCCATGTTGTGGAGGTTGGAGAGATCTCCTCAGAGCTGGCGGTGCACTTGCTCATTGCAGCTGAGCGGTTCCTCTTAGATCGCTTGAAGGCCGAGTCCCCACCTCTGCCTGAAGCCCTGCTACCTACACAGTGGGCTCCTGGGTCGTAGGTAGCATGGATTGATATAGGGGCTCAGGAGATTTCAGGACTTGCGAGGTTTTTTTCCATTACTGTCCGCTATGGTGGGGTCCGTTCTCCTTGCCATGCAGTCATCGTATCTCACAGGTGACTGTGCCTCTATCTCTTAGCCTTGGATGTGACAACACCTGCATTCTGGCTCAAGCAGGAATCAAGCAAATATCGTCGAACCGGCTGCGCTCATTCATTTCACAGATACGTTTCGCGGAGTTTTCTTGGAAAGAGAAGTGTTTTTCCAAATGCAGCCGAATCGACTAACATTTTGAAACAAGGTTGCAAAGGCTGTCGTGAAGTAAGACAACAGGTTGAGAATCCTGCCCCAACCCTGCTTGGTGCCCAGCCAGAACCCTTATCCAACAGCTTGCAAAGCCGGCAACCTGCCATGATTCCGAAGGTGGTTGAATGCATGCTTGGTATCAAACATGGTGATCTGTTCTTCAATCAGAGTGCATTTTAGTTTTTTTAGCGCCGTTTACATGCGCTGCTGGAGGCGGGCGGCGGACGAACTGGGTAGTTGCTAAATTATCCACGGCATGAATGTTCGGTTTGAGGAGAAAAGAAACAGATGGAAGAGTCACATCTGCATCATATCCTAACGTATCTTGTCGTTGCAGTTCACGCTTAAGAAGGCCGGTTGCCAAAGATTATGGCAACTGGGTCACGGGTCTTCGAATATTGGGCTGCGGCCTCAGCTCTGCAATAGCATGGAGTGTCGTCAGTGCCTTGTTTTCACCAGCAGGATCCAACAGCTACCAATGTGTGGCAGAGTCCTCAGTCGCACACTTGTAGATTGCTTGGTACCTGGAAGTCAGTGAATTTCGCAAGTTGTCGATCTCGGTTGCTTTGCCACCTTCCTCTGAGCCTCAGGCTTGTTTTGAAGGCGGATGGCCAAGTCTTTCCGATGCAGAAGGCTCCTGCACCAGAGAAGCACATGACCCGCCCACCAGAAAGATTGTGTGAGGGCCTTGAGCCTGGTCACTGGATCTTTCTCAGCTCTGAGATCCCTGCAGGACCCAGTGCTTGTAGGTTTGATATGTGTTTAGGCTTTCATTTGTTCTGAAGTGGGGCCTTCTGCTTCGCCAGCTCTCCTCCTCGTTCCCTGCGACCCCCTCCCAACATAAAAAGGTGCCCTAAATTGTAGTTTACATTTTCTTTTCCATTAACCCTATATCACCCTATCTACCCCAACATTCTGTTGCGACAAGCAACTCGGCCTCTTTCCAGGAGCCGCTTATGCTTTCGTCACCGAGTGGGTCCAGGAGTCAAGTGCCCAGTTCCTGCATTCTGCAAACCTATGGGTTGACAGATTGTATGACGGCACCTATTATTTAGGGGGTATTAAAATGGGGATGGATCTTGCTACAACAGTAGCAGTGCATAAGAGCGCTGACATCGGTGTGCGCGGCTACCTCACTGTTACGATTGTGCCTGAGGCTCCGGCATTGTGGAGAGTGCGGGGCTCTGTTAATTTTGACATTTCTTTGGGGTGTACGTCGTTCGGGGATGCAAGGCCATCATCAGGTGGTATTTAGCAAGTCAGCATCTCGTGGGGTGCCTCTCTGATTGCTTCAGACCTCAAATGAATCGTTTGAAACCCTGAACGCTTTACACAGGAACAGTGTTCCACCTGGATGGCCTGGATGGCTCATGTTGGTTCCAAGAGTTCACCTACTGAGGGAATGCTTATACCCACAACCCCCGCTGTTTGCAGGCAAGCGGCAGAGCTTTTGTTTTCTATTGTCACCCCTGGCCCTAGTACAGCTTTTGCAGACTTTGTGCTTTCTGAGGCGCTCTTGGTTCGGAAGCGTGCACCCCGAGGCAATGGAGGCCCATCCGAGCAGCATGATAAGACAATGGCAACAAGTGGGGAGCCAGCCCCGACCCGTATCTGGAAAAGTGATGCAACCCGATGGTGGTGCTGTTGGCGGTGGCCTTGGCGTCGGTGCTGGTGGTTGCTTTGGTGTCCGTGGTCATCATGGCAGAATATGGGGTCCACTAGAAAGACTTGAAGGGTCATTTGAAGGGGGGTACCCTAATGCACGTGCTTTTGAAGTTCCTTTCACTATTAGAGGGGGAGAACATAGCAAGACCTTTTCAAGTTCTCTTTGATTTCCGACCGCCCCCGCTGTGTTGATGTATGTTACTTGATCAGAGTACCTAGCTTGCTTTTGGGTGCTCCTTGGGGGCAGCTAGATCACGGGTCATATATATATATAGCATATATATATATGTATGTATGTATGTACTTGTGTATATGTATACATAGGGATCACATAGAGACTATATCTATATCTATATGTACATATATACATAGTGGGCATACTGGCAAAGGCCAATTATGAATATCACCCGGTCTAAGGTCCAGGGTTCTGGGTTTAGGTATGTATAAGTGTGGCAGACTGCGTGAGCCGGGCCGTGTGCTGGCCTTCGACCTTAGACCCGGTGATATTCATGACTGGCCTTTGCCAGTATCCCCACTATGTATATATGTATATATAGATATAGATATAGTCTCTATGTGATCCCTATGTATACATATACACACACACACATATATATATATAGATGTATGACCCTCTTTATCCCTCTATCTCAGTCTGCGCAAGACTGCTGTTGGCCGAAAAGACAAAGACGCAGGGTCAAGTGATGTAGCTGCCCCCAAGGAGCACGCAGGAGCAAGCTAGGTGTGGACCCGCAAACATTAAGATTCGTGACCAGGGTTGGTCACCTTACTGAGAGTCGCTTTTGCAAGGCTTCACAGTCGTTGCTGCTGGATGCGGAAGAAGATCGCATGTCCAACTAAGATTTCCTACCATCCAGCCCCAGCCAGATCCCACTAGGAAGCGGGGGGGGGGAAGCTTGAAAACGTATATTCAGGGCGCCCGCTGGGTGGGGACCCCCGATAAAAGCACTTGGAGGGGGGGCCTCACCGGGTGAGGGTCACCCCCCCCTTAACAGACCCCGCTTTGGCAGAGGCAGCAGCAACTGTGTCGGGTGTAGTGGCGTGGTGATGGAGTCAAACAGTGAGCTGTGAGTAGCAGCAAAGAACCAGGGGCATCTTCTGCAGAAGAGTAAGAGAATCAGAAGATGCAATGCCAGGTTGGCTTGTTTCCGAGAGATCTTCCAAGTCCCTTGGCTTTTCTATGCTAGCTGTTATCCGTTATCCCAGTGTCACTCTGCCCAGCTGCTTGTTCATCATAACTCTATTCATCATGAGCCACGCTGCCGTCATTTTTGCGCCCAAGGCCCAGACATGTGGTTGACGCCGAAAAGGTCCAGGTCAGCAGCCCAGAGTCCGTGAACAGGAAAAGTATTTGGTGAGAGCTTTCAGTCTGTGGCCTGCTGTTTCTCACAGATCTCTCCCCAAGACAGGTAACCTCTTGGTTTTCTAGTCAATTTCACAAATTCTGAAGCAGGCTCGCAAGCCTGGACCAAGCTAGCATGCGCGTTTCATGAAACACTCCATTACCAAAGTGTCTGAGCGGGCTAGCAAATCTGATCGTGCTTGTTAAATTTCGTGCCCAGAGAACGGGGTTGACTTTAATCTGCAAAATTTCCGTGGCCTTTGCAGTCTGAGGGCAGCATCAATAGCTGCTTCAGTGACTAGCTCAGCAGCGGTCTACCAGAACAGTGTTGCACTCTAAGCGCAGTTGGTTCAGCGTAGTCGCCAAGGAGAAGGGTGGCTACAGCACGGGCGATGAAGCAACCACTGAGGAGGTCGTCTGCATTTCTGTGCTGAGATTGGAGTTCAGGTCGCTGGATCCCTCATCCCAAGCAGTCAAGGCGGCCAAGTTTCAGTTACATTGAAATTAGAACATGCGCAAGGCCTCCACACCTCCAGGGGAGCCAACAGACGCCCAGCGACTCTTGGCAGTAGTGGTTTAGTAAGCAGGGTGTTGGCTGGAGGCGGCTCTCACTGCTTAGATTTCTTCACATGGATCGGTATTTGATGTTGTAGCTGGACCAAGTCTGCTTGTAAACGTCTTCAGGTAGGATGTGATTACAGACTTGGATAGTTTAAGATCGTATGTTTCCGGTGAAGACGGCAGAGAACATTTCAACTTCTCGAACAAGTTGAAGAGCAATACGTCTACCTACGGCTGAAAGCAGTTCATGCCTTCCCGTCCTCTCCCAACCATTTGCCCATGCCTTGCCCAATGCCCTCCAAATGCTCCCTGCAAGACATCAAGCAAGAAAATAGTCAGGACTGGCGGCATCCGAGTTCTTCGTCCAGGCAGGGATCAGGGCAGCTTCTGCTTGTAGTTTTAATGGAGCTCCCATTGGCATCGCAGAATGTTCTTGCATCCCAGCCTGGTTGTATGGGCTGAGTCTGAAGTTGTGCTATTAGACCGCCATGACTAAATCTATTTAATTTGGCTATGAAAAGTATCGGTGTCAAGGATCCTTCGAGCAGGACAGTACGGGTGTCATTCCTAGGTCCTGGTGCATGACATAGCACATTTCTTGTCCTAGAACAATGATGAAGGCAGCAGTTCATGCGGAGATGTGCAACAGTGAGGCTACCGACAATCCGTACGTCACGGATGGCTGCGGCGTGCGCTTGAGCAGGCTACTGAGGTTCTGAGGTTATCTTAATCTTTGCACGTGGTATCTGCCCTGACTGCCGTCCTGGGGACTCCGGGGCTTGCCGAGTTCATGCGAAGAACTTTCGATGGTAGCTTAGCACATGCCTGAAATCACTTGGAGCGAGCGGAGGTCTTCTTGTGGCTCCGCGTGTTATCATCACAGGGGCACAGGCCAGAGCTCAATGCTGCAAGTCAGATCGCTCACGCAATGCTTTTTCTTGAGTCCTCAGTGCGCCCGCGAGGCTGTAGCCACAGATGGGTCATGGGGCCCCCTGACGCTGCGAAAGCTGCGCGAGGCCAGTCCCAATAATCGTGCCGAGTAGGTTGGAGAACGATGCTTGGAGGCTGGAGCCCCGGCCGTGAAGGCTGAGACAGAAGAAGCAGTTCCGGAGGAAACGTTGGAGGAGAGTCATCGATTTGCGGCCTAAGTTGGCTGTCGCAATCATGTGATGAAAGCCCGCGTTGCGGCTTTGCCGCCTCATCAGGATCTATTGATACCAGGCCAATGGCCAGGAGCCCAGCAGAGTGGAGGCGTTGCAAAGTGATACCGATGAATTATTGATGTCTGCAGAACTCGTTTTCAAGCCAGTGAAGCGCCCGAAGGATAGGCGATGCAATCAACTTTTGCATCCACAGCGACACCGAGTTCTTGCTCAGAGTGTCTGCCCCTCAGCCGGTTGACTTTGAAGAGAACGGGCACTGTGTGTCTGAGCATCGGGTGGACCGCGGCATCATGGCAAGGCACAGAAGAGACTGGCGAGTAGACCCCAACGCGGGGCGCCTAGTTGCCATGACTGTAATCCTTGCAACAACTTTTTTGGGCAGAGCCTCATAGCTCCGTGCTTGGCTCCAAGGCTCATGGCCTCCAAAGAGAGGATGGGGACGGATGGTCAGGGCCTGCTTCTGAGAAAACACAAAATTTCTCGCTGCGTGTAGCGTAGCATGGATTCAGCATTTGCTGAGAACACTGGATGACAGTACAAAGATGGAGCAGACTGCGGGGAGCTCAAAAGCTGTCCTGGTCAGATGAAGAAGATACATATTCTTTTGTTAGCATTGGCTCACCGAGGCCTTCGCTCCAGTAGGCCCCACATACTGGAGTGTTGTAGCGCGGGGCTTGGCCGAACCATCGAGAGCCCCCCATGCAACAGCAGGTTGCTGCTTTAGCCAGCTTGGCGTGAGGGATAGGAGCATACTAGGCCAGATCTCCAGTGCAGAAGTGCGGAAGCTCTGGGGATCTCTCCTGTATAAATCTGTCTTTCGTTTCGATGCACAATTTGTTCAGGCTTTGCATTTTGGATCTTGAGGTTTTGGATTTCCCGAGCCTATAGACTCGGCAGGCTTCTGCATCTTGGTACTCTAGATCTGATGCAGTTTCGGATGGGCTGGGATCGTCGATGGGCTGGGATCGTCCTCTAAGAATCTCTGGCCCTGGCCACTGCTTCTGATGGCCGGATTTGAATTTCGAAAGCTGTCTTTGCAAGTTGCTCCTGTCTTTCAAATCAGAAGATCCGTTTTTCATAGAGTTCTCACTCCCCATTCGGCTGCCGATTTGGGCCAGCGCACGGATACCGCCGGATTTCCACAAGACCCCTGGTGCTCCTCGTGTTTGTTCATTGGGCGGGAATAGTCATGACCGTAGCATACCTCGGGCATGAATACCTGAAAGAATGCCCAACCTTACCGTGTACGTGTGAGATAGACCACCCCTTTGACCGTTTCCTCCGTCACTTCTTTAGCATGCATACATTGCACGACTTGAGAATACTACTCTCATTCGTTACAAGCATGATGATCCCAAAATGGATCCCCAAAAGTGCCATCAGTGGAGACGCCTGCTTTTTCCCGATAGCTTTTGCAAGCCTTCCTGTTCTGAAAGGGCCACCCAACTTCATGAGATCCTTCGGAGTCTTTGGTGTGGAGCGACGAAGCAGAGGGCTCTGCGAGTCCCAAGAAAGAGCGCAGAGCCTAGCAAAAATGTGGAATTGCTATTCTGGAAGTGGGGAGTCGCCCATGCCAATGCAAGTTCAGATCCAAACGTGATTTTCGCTTTGGACACGGAGAGACGCGACCTGAACGAAGCAGTACAGATTTGGCCAATGGAGTGAAAAGTGTTGGGGGCATTGAACCAACTTGAGCCAGTATACCCCACCTTTGCACTGCCGACCACGAATGATCTGGATTCGCTGTGCTAGGGCCACAGCCGCTGCAGGGGGCCTAAGGGCTTCTTGTGCAGCCGGTAGAAGCAGCAGAGAAACTGCAAGATAACCGACACACTGAAGCTCAGGCCAAGCAACGAGTTCAGGCCAGAAGAAGGGGCGAATGGTCGTACGAAAGAGCCATCAAGTCGCGAAATGGAGGAGAAGCAGAAAACCAACGAACAAGGATAGACCAGAGCGGGACGGCAAACCCCAAGACGTACATCGAGCACGCGGTGACCAAGCAAGAGAGAGCCCGTGTGACACCTGTGTGGAAGGGAAACTTTGACAAACGTAGTTACTTTTTCAGGGTAAGACCCCAAGAAACCATATTTCATAAAACTCCCTAGCCCTCCTTGCCCCCTCGTTCTTAGGCTGGGTATTAGAGCATTCGAAGCAACAACAAAAAAACAAGTAGTTCGCATACAGGCGTGCCTCGCGGGTTTCTGCAGACATACAAATTGTAAGTGTTGCTCCGAACAAAGTATTTGCTCTCATGCAAAATTCGGTCACTTGCCCTACAGTGCTTGCGGATACTTGACTGTGGCAACAACGGACGCCACTCAACTTAATGAAGTTAGAGCCTTGCACAATGGACTCACTTTGACTCAGTTGCTTACGTTTTCGTAGTGCGCAGGCCCAGTCTGTCTAAGGTATGGGGACTACCTAGGGATATAGGCGTTATATAATGACTATATAAGGGTTATGTATGGTAATGGGAGTAAGGGTCCCTATTAGGGGTCCCTGCTAAAGTGTCTGAATCCCAGGCCGACCTTCCATCGGCCGCGGATCCGTTCCGTCGCTGTAGCGACCGGGAGCTCGGGCCTCAGAGGAGCTTACGAAGGCTTTAGGGTTTAGGGTACAGGGATTATGTAGGGGACTACTAATAAATTGGGATAATGGAAAATCAAATGGAAACTACTATAATATTGGGGTTATACATTTTAATTCGCATTTTTATTAAGGTTTTTGGGTTTGATGAGGACATGAGATGGAGAGAACCTCAGCGAAGGGATCTCTGGCTTGCTGGACCATGGCTCTTGTGTGCAGTGTAGAAGTGTAGAATGCCATTGAAATCAAGCATGAACTGTTGAAGCCGCTGCAAAGGTGGCACTCGCCTTTTCTGTCGGGATCACTCCGTATGGGGGCCGTAAGAGGTTTAAGAGAACCCAGGTTCCTCCTGTGTCGCTTAGTGCAACTACCACTTCATGGCCACGGTCCAAATTCGAGCTGGGAGGCTATAGGAAGGAAAGGTGGGATGCAAATGCAGACGTCTGTCAACCGAGGGGAAGTCCTCATGAAATTGTAACCTTTCAAAGGCTGCTGTGGCTTCTAGCGTGGTACCATGTGGTACCGCTAAGCAACGGGCCGTATCGGCTCATACTTAGCAGCTACTTCATGAATGCTACAGGATTTTGCACGGTCTTGAGGTTAATGTCTGAGGGAGCCCTCAGCAGAGACCACCCTGTGCACAGGCTTGTGCTCTATGAGCTCCATCTTGGCAGCTTCACCAGCACCTGACTCAAGAATGGTCGTGCGTCACGTAGCAGTATAGTGGATTGAGATTGCTGGAAAAAGCGAATAGCTTGTTTTTCTTCTATAGAGCATGCAGCATGGCAGCCTGGAGTATGCTCCTCCCTCCTCTTCTGCATAGTTGTCGAACACTGTGCTGCCAAGCATTTGCTGCTAAATCTCATGTAAATCTCAAGGCAAGGCGCATGTAGTGATGTGCTGTTACGGCGTGAGTCTCGAAGCCTTCCGAAACGCCGCGAAGCACCTGGCCTCAATATTTCACAGGCGAGGGGACGCTACGGGCGGCTGCCGCGCGGCTTCCGCACCTCCAAGATCTAGGCTGGGCGGCTCAGACCTTTGACAGGGTGTTGCAGGAAGCGGAAGGTTTTAAGTAGAGCCAACAACGTGTTGTCCTCATATGTTCATTCCCGGCCAGTCTCCGCATGCATCTAGTACCTATACAAGGGCAAAAGCCATCTTGCGCAGCAGGCAGCAAAGGTTCTTGTAGCAATTGGGTGATGAATGATGGTCGTTGTGCAGGTATCACAGCTATTTCGCTCATGCAGGAGCCTGAGCAGAAAGCTTTCATCTCATGCCAACAGCTTTCATGTTATGGGCTTCCATGTGATTATATGTAATTACAAAGGACCAACACTTGCCAAGGGTCCATCTCTCATATAGGTAACAGTCACAACATGATTGTCAGGGCATGCTCGTCTGAGGCCCATACAACAGGATGTGCCGGGGCCTTAAACCTTGAGTTCGTGCTTTAAGGATACAAGGGCTTCCTTCAGCGTGGCAAGATACCTTCTATGATGGTTTCCCTGGGTTTAGTGCCAAACCCAGTCATCATGGGCTGGGCTGTATTTGAAGTGGTGAAGTTTAGTCCTGTGAGCCAGCGGCAAATATCACTGGCAGATACCCTGCTATCGTCATTCATCGCCATCGTCGCCATCATCACCATCGTCGCCAGTATCATCATCCTCATCATCAACGTCATCATCACCATCATCATCATCATGACCCTCATCACCGTCATCTCATTCTTCACTGCCATCATCGACGTTGCCTCCACCAGCACCTCTACCGGTCATTACTGTCGCAGTCATGACGGCAATGTTCGCCATCCCATTACCGTTGCCCCGCCAAAGCTCAATGGCTACTCTCACCGTCATCGAGTTAGTCTCTTGTGTCCAGCAGCAGCAATCAGTATTGCTTCACAACGAGGCGCCGCCTCACCAGCAGGGACTTGGATCGCTGGGGCCGAGCTCTCAGCGTCCAATATCAGCAGTTTCAGGTGTCTCAAACATGAGGCCCGGTTTGGGCATTACCTTGTAATGACCACAGACCTGCGGCCTTGCAAACATCAACGCATGATAGCCGAGCTCCATGCCAAAATCGACAGTCGTCTGCAGGATACGATGTGATCTCCTTTGCTGCAGCTTCGGACTCAGACAACTCAGCATGCTCAGTCGCTTAGTGGTATGCAAGGGTTGCTTCAATCCTACTGCTGCTGTTTTTGTCGGCTCATATAGTCATAGCTGTTGAGTACTGAGATGGCATTTCGAATGAAACGAGGTTGACAACCTTTACGGCACCTTGGAGGACGCAGCTTGCAAACGCGTCCAATCACTTGCATTATTTGAGTATTCATCTCACGCATTGTTGGATTCTTTCAGGACCTGGCGCATTTTGTCCAACAGGCACACCTGTCACGGCCTCAGATACTTCTGAGGTCCGCTACACAGCTTGAAAATGAGTGACCACACATAAAGCTTCAAGTAAGCAAGGGTGATGAAGCAGCTAAAGCGTTGGCGTTGTCTTACTGGCGCTCGCTGTGATGACGCGCATGGACACTACGTCAATTGTCTAGTTGTTTTGGGAAGTATTTAGTTAGTGGGTGGACCGTGAGAGGGTCTGTGTACTCCTTGACATTCAGGGCGATACAAGGCGCCTCGCTGCTCGCTTTGGTTGAAGCAGTTCTAGAAGATCTAGCAAGGCATGATCTTCCAATTGATTCATGAACCAGTAGCAGTTGATAGAAACCCAGAAGTCCAGGGCCCAGCATGCATGCTTTCCTCCTGCTGGCTTCAAACATTTTACACGATTCCTGTCACGGGACCATTCTTTGCAGGCAGCTGGGCACACTTTGACTTTGTTTTGCGGAGCTTTCCCTTCGCAAATTTTATCATAAAAGCCATCCCTACACTGACTGCTTGAACGTGCTATGCACCCCCCGATCTCCAAATGCAACACATGAGCATCGCAAAACAGGCACATGGAACGCTTTCAATACATGTATATGTTTATACATGGAGGTTGATCTACAGGTCTTTTGGGGAAATCATTTTGCGTTCTTGTAGGTCTTTGAAGGAAAACATGTGGGACGTTACTTTCCAGAATTGCCATTTGAGAACTTGAATTTTAATCAACTACTGTACCATGTATAGCACGTACCGTCAAACCTTGTCATTCCGCCCGCAAGACCATAATCTTTAGCAGGAATATTCAATGTACGGCAAAGAGCGGGCCAAGAAGCAGTCCTTCATCCGGAAACATTAAGCAGATTTTTGCACGAGGAAGGTTGCTTCCTTTCAGGTTGAATCTGGCCGTCATCGTGGATTTCGTTTTCAATCACATGATGTGGGGCCTGAAGCTCAGGACGCTCAGTGTGAACTTAGGATGATGCACTCCTCAGGGAGCAAACTCTTCGTAGTCAGTGTAAGAACGGCAAGGTGCTCAGTTCCTCTACGGGCCGCAGTTGTTCATGAGCGAGGCGAGCGGACGTGCTGCCGAAATGCTTGTTGCGTGGCTTGTGGATGAAGAGCTTCCAGAGTTCCATGCGCCCAGCCCGCAAATGAGTCAACAGGACACTGTGTGGGGACCTCGGCCAGACTTCTCCAAACCAGAGGCACGGAGCGCGTCAAAGATCGTCATGGAAGGAAGTGTTCGAAGTGTAGATCATGACGTCACAGGGTAGATCGTGGATGTCAGAGTTGCTGAGCATAGCGAAGTATCTTCTGGGCAGGTCAACCGCTGCATTCTTGCTGCTGCCGAGACCCTTATGCTGCGCCTGCTGCTAAGCGGGCCATCAGGCTTTGAATGTAGCTGGAGTGCATGGGCTCGGGGCAGCTTGAAGCCCTTGCTGACAGCTTACTCGCAAATACTCCGAGGTGTGGGGGTGGATGGACTGCGAGTGGACTCCACGAAGTCCGTGCGCAAGCTGCCTGCAGGCGGAAAGCCAAGATGCCAAAGCAAATGAGCTGTGCGGAGCGAATCCTATGAGGTGACGATGACCCCAGCGGAGCTGCCTTGCTGTCAGAGCTGACGGCACTCTGCAGGCCATGGGATTTGGCATTGCGCACGAAAGTGGGAAAGTCCATTCGCACAGTTCATAGATTCAGGCGGCACGGGCGCCTGGCCCTTGCCTAAGGGCTTTCCCTGATCTCCGACGCAAGTAGACTAATTCTGTCTGGTCCTCACGGGTCGTCCAAGGTGATCGCAGAGGATCTTGAGGATGGCGATGGATTCCTCCAGTTCGCATCTCAGCACTTGATTGATTGTGAGGAATCTTTTTGGGATTTGCTGTTGGGCTTAGGTGGGGTGGCCTTGGCTTCCACATGCAGTGGGACATGGCACTCTTCTGCTGGACTGACTTGCATGAGCTCTTGCTCCGACAATGCCTCTCTCTCTCTCAATCTCAATGTTTCAGGATCTACGAAGCTCTCGTGCATCATCTGGATGAGCCTTGCGCTCACTGCAGATGTTGCACAAGTCCACCTGAGCAACATCCCTCTAATCAAGCCATTATGCCTGGAGCGCCGGAAAGCATGCTCCATCTGACAATGCACGATGTAAGCTATGGAGGACATGACTTGCAGGGAATTGCAGGGGAGGCTTATTAAGGTGGATACTAGGAGCTTAGACTATAGCTCATCAAATTCCTGTCACCCAACACGACACACAACATGAAGTTCTCCCATGTATGCATACCATATGAGCACTCATCAAATGGTCCTGCAGAATCCTGAGATGGCCCCAGATGGGCAGTTAAAACTGTTGCCTTCCTGCTGAAATTGCGCATGAGCCATTGTCTAAGCTCCTAGTATCCCCCTTAAATCTCCTTAATAGCCCCGTAACCCTTACGTACAATATGATGCTCAGAAATACGGCAGCTTACGTTTGGAGCATGGTTGTTCCCTGCTGGCAGCTCAGGTTTCGGGACCTAAAGAAAGTCGTCAAGGGCCTCGTAGGCCTCGCTCCAGGTCGCCCGGGGGCCCAAGATTCTCGGGATTGTCTGCTTTCTGGGAGTGGGGGGAGTGAATATGGGCACCAGCATAGGGATATCTATGGGGATGATTATAGGAGTCCACTCCCCCCTTGAAGTCTCATGATTTTCATGTGCTATATGATACCCGGTGTTCACAGTAAGCCTGGAAGAGTCATAGCAGTCCCGAAGAGCCCTTCCTGTTTCTCTTAGTGCAGGGCCTCCACCCAGTGAAGTGGAGAGGACGCTGCTCATAGAGAGAGGTTTTGTCGCAAAAAGCGTCGTTGCAGTAGTTGAAAACTCCTTTGATGAGAAACGGGCCGCTGACGTACGGTTTTAAAAGTTGGAATGCTTTAGTCCTCTGAGATGTAGAAGTAGTAGGAGGAATGTGGCAAACAAGGACCCTGGATTTTCGGAACCTTTCATGCGGCCATGCGCAGTCGTTTCTCGCTCAGTGAGCTGAGGAGCACACACCCTTCGTGGTCGAGTTGTACCTTGGCAGCCTTTGCTTCCCGCTTTGGTCATCACGCTCGTTGTAGGTCTAGTAAAGGGCTTGAGGGATGCTTTGCTGAATGCCCAAAGATGATGTGCAATTGGAGCTATCATGTCAAAGGTCTCTGCTTCTTCCACTGACCAAGCCAAGATGTGTTCTTGGCAATGAGTGTCGTACCGCCGTTTTCCGCTGTCAAGGACGAAGGCTGATTACAGCTTCCGCCAAGGTTGATGATGTCAATTTCAGCAGATTGGCATGTTTGGCCAGCATTGTGCCGTAGTCCTGGACTGAGGTTTTCATGGTCTGAGCCCAAGCAGATTGCTTTCATGGGCTCTTGCAGATGTGTTCCGGTGTAGTCTTGCGAAACGGTACCCTTTGGCAGCGGAACCTTCGGCAATCACAACTACAAGCTCGACGTGCCTTCTGAACTTGAGGAGAGCCATGACACTGCAGCCTCAGATCGATATGGACGCGCTGCAGCCTCATTTTCATTTGATATGTGAGCAGTTACGGGCCGAACTCTGAATTTGAGGTACCAGCCGCCGTCCACCATGGGAAAGCCTTCATGATCGAGGGACAGGTGAGGCTCAGGGATTCAAAGGTTTCTTTCGTGGTGCATGTGGGGCCAAGGCCGGAGGCGGCGATGCCTTCCAGCAAGTCGAGAGCCCGGCTGAAGCATTGCTTGCAGAGACCTGTTTTAGGCTTTCAGCATGTCCGGCTTACAAGGCTGGTGGCAGCTTGCCCTACCCCGACCACGAAGAAGTGGTGGACTTGACACAGCCGGCAGAAGTGCAGAAGTGACCCTGGCTGTGCAGTGGACGTTTGCTGTTAAGGTGGCCAAGAATGAGTTTGCGTGGAGACGTGCAGCACTAGGCAAGGCTGCCACGCAGAAATAGGGGCCGCTGGTACCCTAAACCCTAACACCCCTAAGCTTATAAGATTTTTTGTGGTACAGATTGGGGGGAAAGAATGTAGTTTTTTTCATTTTAAGATGATTTTGGAGATCCTAATGTTCCGGATATGCAGTTGTGCCCTGGTTCTTGGGCATCCTTGTATTCAGCCTTCAGTTTGTGTGCTGGATTTTGGAGATCCTTCGATTCTGCATTCAGTTAGTAGCCTGGATTCTGGAGACACATTCGTTCTGCATTAGGCTTTTCTCTTGGATTCCGATCATCGTCGGAATTTTTGTTGGGCTTTTGGCCTGGATGTCAAGATGCAGGTGAGGAGTTCTGTCAGTTGCTAGATGCTAGGTTCAGCCGTTAGATTGTTGCTAGTTGCTAGATGTTTGACTTCCGACATATTTTCCTCAGCATGCGCTCAGCCAGCCACTCGTAGCATGGCAGACGACCGGACAGATGTCTTTGCGCATGAAATCCCGGCCCACGTTACAAGAAATCATGCGCGTATGGTCTCCTGAATCCAGAGCACTCTGCCGTATGATGAAACCATGATCTCTGGACGCCGGGCTGCTGTCCCAAATAATGCGAAAATCGCCCCCCGAATCCAGGCCGCAATCCCAAATGATCAAAAAATGATAAAAAAAATGATCTCCCGAATCCAGGCCGCTTTCCCAACCGATAAAAAATGATAAAAAACATGATACAACAATGATAAAATAATGATAAAGTTTGCCGGAAATGCCAGGGAAATGATCAAAAAACGATAAAAATGATAAATAAACGAAAAAAGAAACGATAAATAAATGATAAAAAAAACGATAAAATAATGATAACAGTCCAGCAAAAGTGCTGTTTTTCCACTTTTTGGTACGTCCCCCAGAAACAGGCGTCTGGGCACCCTGGTTTCCGCCCTGGATTCAACCCTGGATTCGTTCCTGGATTCGTTCCTGGATTCGAAAACAAGCCTCTGCCTTCGTTTCATCCTGGATTCGTTCCTGGATTCGAAGACAAGCCTGGGTTCCTTCATTTCATCTTTGGTTCGTTTCTGGGTTGGAAACAACCAAAGCATCAACAGCTAAAACAATGACGATGACTTTTCTTACTGCTACTGTTCTTGTTACTATCCTACTCCCACTACTGCTACTGCTACTACTGTTGCTACTACTATTGCTGCTACTGCTGCCGTTTACTACAACAATCAGTGCCACTACTCTGGAACTGCTACTGCTACTGCTACAGCTACGGTCACATCTATTGCTACAGCAGCTATTACTACAACAGATGTTGTTACAACTCAAATTACACGCGTCTAGAGAGACTGCCATTGCACCCAGCTGGCCAAGTAGGTCAAGCGGGGGCGCAATTGGGAAGGATGAATTGTGAAAGCGTAAGTAAACAGTAAAGAAATGATAAGTGGATTATGGACTGATAAATAAATGTAAAATAAATGATGTGGCGAATCTGGAATGGCAAATGCATGCTACATAAATCCTAAAAGTGATGATTGCCCAAATGATCCATGGAATAATAAAAAAAACTTATAAGCTCTTTCCCAATCTCTACCACCCAAAAAATCTTATAACCCTAAGCCCTGAACCACATTTACTCTTCTTGTCAGGCTTGGTCTTGGTGCTCACCTGTCCCGGTGTGCCCATGCTGCTCCAGGGTCAGGAGGCTCTTTTTTCCTTTGTCTGCGCCCTGGTTAGAGCATCCCCCGAGTGGGTCCAGGTGGGTGACTGTCGGCCCTACTGCTGGCCAAATGGGCCTGCTTTGGACTGGGATCGGGTACTGGACCCAATTCGCTCCTTGATCCTTGGGAAATAAAACCTGGCCTGCACACAAGGTAGCGGAGACCTCTGGGATCCCCGTGCCTTTCTGAGCTTCAGAGCAGCCAGGATGTCAAAGACGTTTTACGTAAGCTGTTTAAGGACTCTTTGCCACGCCTGTTGAGCCGTGCAAGTGGTTGGGTAACGCGCATCATTGTCAACAAGTCTACGGGCCTGCTAGGCTGCCTGGAAGCGGCTGTGCAAGGACTTGATTTCTTTGAGGCCCCGCCGCTCATTTCGTCTGCTGCGCATTCGTTTAAGACGCTCCTGTGAGCGGGCCATTCTTGAATCGTGTGTAACAACGTGAGCTTGATTTGGGCTGGCGCAAGTTGAGCTGTTTGGTAGTAATGGGAGTTCGGGGTTTGGGCTTGTGCCCCAGGGTGGGACGCACTGGCGTTCCAGCAGCCAGCCCACTGCAGGGAGATGGCGCAGGAGCCTTTGTTCCAGAAGGATGATTGTCCCAGATTGCATGATCGCCTGGTACCAGCAAGACATGTTGGTGATTTTCACACGGTTCAGATCACGCAACATCATCAACAATGACATACAATCAGAATTCGCTTCGCACATTGAATCGACCGAGATCCACATCTTCCACGACAAGGGCGGCATCCTGGCTTTCCTCCGCTGGCACGAAGCCGAGGCGATGCACGTCGACCAGTCCTTACGGGCGCTCCTTCCAATGTACTTGTAAGTGGATGTCGTGATGGACAGGCTTTAGGGGTTTCTGGCCACCTAGACTCATGGTCTATCCTACAACAAATGCAGCTGGATAGTAGTCGTGCTAGCATCATGGGAAACGCCGTTCGTCGCAGGAAAGCCGAGAGAAGAGAGCCACAGGTGTTCGCCACAGACTTAGTGCGCAGCCTTTGTACTAGACAGTTGCTCGAAGATGGGTCGGGCTTCACGTGACTGAGCACCTGCAAGGTCTTGCCCTTGTGGTTCTCAACTTCCGCAATCACAACTTTGGCAACTACAGTATTGGGGTGCGACACTCAGACATCTTGTTCTGGGAGCTGCAACTCGCTGCCGAATCTCAGGGAGTGTTTCTGAAGAGTGAAACCTTAGCTTTCACTTGATATCAGGTACCACCCTCTCGGATCTGGCGAATTGCTGCGCCGCTCATTTTGAACTGCTTTGCTTGATAGAAGCCTAGCCAGTGTCTAGCCGAGCAAGCATTTTGCCCTCAGAGTTTCAGAATTCAGTGCGCTCGGGAGCTTGCTTGAGATCAAGAAGAAAGGGATGCTTGAACTGCATTGCACAAGCGAAGTTCTGCTATTAAGGCTGTCGACAAGTTTCACATCCCTGGCGGTTGTGATGGCCGTTGTATTTAAGGGCATCCTCTCTCTCTCTCTCTCTCTCACTCACTCACTCACTCACTCACTCGAAAAAAATATTTGAGGGCATCCTGAAATTGTGCGCGGTCTGAGCTGTTTGGTCCTGAAACGCTTTGGGCAAAAAATCAGTTGCGGGTTGGGGGTATTTGCGACTAGTTTTTTCAAGCAAGTGTTAGAGGCCTATTGGCCCGTCCAGTCTGACACAGACATCAGACCACTTGCATTTTGACTGGACTTTAAAGCTACAACTACAATGTGACCAAAGTAGAGGTCCGTTGAACGTCTGAGGTGCACGCCACCCCTCGAAGACACCCCAGATGACATTCAGGTGGATCAGCCCCGTGTGATGTTTAGAGACTAGCCAAGCGCCCTGACCTGTGAGACTTTTCCGGCTAAGTGCAGAACTCTGCAATAGGGCGGATTCGCCAGAGCCAGTACTCCCAGCGTTGATGCTTTGGCTGTTCAATGTTGCCTCACTGCACTCAATATGCATTTTCTGCTGTTTCCCCCTAGATCCGGCTACGCCTGCTTGCAGGTGACCCAGAGTTGCCCTACCCACGGCTTTCCAAACTGCATTGACGTTCCCTTGGAGGCGATGGATCTACTTGCAATGAGGGTCCATGTGAGCAGACGGAAGCAAGTTTTACATTACCTTTTCAAAGCTCGTCTACTAATTAGGCATGCCGCTCAAGAACCTTTAAGATACGAGATGACTCAGCTTGGCCAGGCATATGCAGCGGTCCGCCTGCCCTGTTGAGCTGCCAGCTTGCGAGGAGGTTCTGCGTTGGAACTCTAAGATTTAATTTCCATGCGCTCAGAAGGCGCTGCTTACGTTTTTGCACTTTGTCATGTCTACTCTTGCCAGGTGGTCATGCTTCAAGAGAGCTGACGACGTTAACCTGCAACACCAGTGCAGGAGCTCTTCGCAAACCTTCTTTTCAAAGAAACGAATGTACCAACTCGTGTCAAGGAGCCCGCGCAGAGCTACCATCCCATGCTTGTTCGATCTTTGGCAGCAGCGCGCGTGGTTCTGACAACCTTCTTCTCGGGACCTGTTGGTAGTACAGACATGGGGACTGGGTTTAGCTTGGGTCATCCATTTATACTTGTCAGAACTTCTTTGCAAAGACTCTGCGACCAAGCAGAGACTAGGTTTCAGCACAGCGGAAGCACAGCATCCGGGTCGGGTGAGGTCGCACAAACAACGGTGGAATTTGCCAAAGCTTTCATCATAGCATGGAAGCATTCAAGGGCCAAGCTCGGGTGCGTCGCAACCTCCCGTTTCCAATATCAGTCTGGTGAGCCTTGGATGGACCCGACCAGGCCCGTTTGAAGGCTGACTGGGAGTGCGGGGTATTACTTCTTGGAACCTGTGCGCTTAGCCTGGATAGGGAGGGGTGAAACCAGATAAACCATGGAGATTTGCACTGGCAGAGGCCGGGGACAAAGAGTGTTCATGAGCCACCAGATGAATTTTCCACTACCAAGGCAGAAGGAGGCTATATTGCCATGCTTGATTGACAGCGTTGCTAGACTCAAGCTTGCTTGCAACGCCTCCTTCTTCCTGAACGCTATATGTACATGGTTACGCAGAAAGATGCATGACAAGCCGAAAGCGTAGCTTGATGCGCATTCTCGACGCGCAGCTGTGCGGCTGCCAGTGTGGCCAGACTGCCAGCACTAGCAGATTCTGGCAGGTTCGGCTGGCTACTGGAGGTCATCACGTAACCAGCTGCCTGCCGTTCTGGCCGCCGCAGATGGTTTTAAAACAGATGGCATCTGGCATGTCACAGCTGTGAGGCATGCCACAAGTACCCTCTGGAGTGGCTGGATACTGAATTCTAACTGATTTTGCGCAGGCGCTTTGTGAGGACATCATCCGAAAATCGATCTCCATCGACAACGTAGTCCAGATCATGATGACTGCAAAGGCCTGGGCTAGTTGCGGCAAGTTGTTCGAGCTTGGTTGCTTCTCGGCTGATTGCCTGCGTCTGTGCCGCGCTCCAGGCGCACCGAGCGGATGGCCTCAAAGACATTTGCATGGCACGGGCCTCGAGTTGACACCGGAGAAGAACCAATCACAGGTCATTGCATGTTGAAGGGTGCAAAGGCTCCCACAGACCTGGAGCACAGTCTCCAGAATGATCTGTCTAAGAATCTTAGGTTTTCTAACCTCAGTTTTCGTTTGAAGCTCCAAACTGGGAATCCAGTGGCCTCAGCTCAACTCCTTTGCCAGGATTTCATCATCACCAACGAAGAGAAAATCAAGCCAACGCCAGCTTTCAAGGAGCTGATCCAGGACCCGCGCAGGATGTCCCAATATATAGCCCATTATACTATAGTAGTTTCCATTTTCTTTTCCCATTATCCCAATATCCATGTATTGCTGAGCTGGGTCAATTGTCTCAGGCCAGAGATGCCCTGCCTTGGTTATACAGGGGTTATACTGGGATAATGGAAAAGAAAACGGAAACTACTATAGTATCATGGGCTATATATTGGGCTTATAATCCCCCTGAAGTAGATCTAAACCCTAAACCCTAAACAGTTTGCGGTTCTGCTGCACTGATTTGATAAGTTCCACGCTTCACGGAGGAGCCAACACTGATGTACGAGCTCCTGATGCGGTTCCTGCCCCAGATGCGATGGCCAGTTAGATTCCTCAATAGCAGATATGGGTGGTTGTCAAAATTATGGCCCTTTTTGGGTACCCTAAATATTAGGTGCCGTAAAATAATAGGGACCCAAAAAGGGACCATAATTTTGACAACCACCCATATCCAGAATGTGTTCAAGCCCATAATGCCACATGTCACCATGCAACAATCGAGGCGAAAGCCTACAAAGTGAGAGGCGGCGTCAAGGCATCCCAATACCGACAATCCTGAGGACTGCACCAACAAGGCGCTCTACAACTTAGCGCCCCATAACCCCCCAAAGCCCGTACAGTACTTTGCTTGTTTTGCCAGTTGCATCCAAAGTCTCTGCTGGAGGAGGCTGATCCCCACCCAAGAAGAGCTTTTGCCATTCCGTTTTTTGATGGCGAGGCCGCGCCAGGCCTCCGTACCTATAATACAGAGGCCAGTAATTAGGAACGGCAGAAGCCAGCCATACAAAGATAAGAAAACAGAAAGAGCCCAACCGCATGGAGCTCTCAAGCAAGGGCTTCCTCCAGCCTGTGTCACTCTTAGCACAACTTGGGTGGTCCACACCCAGAGACAGCAGCCCGCAAGCCCCAAAGACTCTGAGCCTGGACTCCTGTGAAGGGGTTTGTGGTATATCATTGTGGCCTACTGGTTTGGGACAAGGCTCATCATGATTTTGTATCATACTGTGTCAGGGGAAGCGCTAAAGGGATGCAAACGTGCGGAGACCTGACCCTTAGAGCCCGGAAGAAGTGCGATTCTCGAGATATGTTTTAGAGCGCAGGCTATCCAGGGCCCTGCTTACCTGTGGTTGCAAAATTAGCTTTATCATAAGATGTTGGTTGGAGGACTCTGTGGAGTGCTTGGGCAGGGCTCCATCGCGCATCAAGCATGTTGCAGGTTGCAGCTCAGGAGCATCAAGGTAAGCACCATAAGCCCAATGAGATGATAGCATGAATTCCCAGGACAAGTCGATGAGGGCTATTACAGCTGGCGTTTACTCACTTTGTTCATGTGTACTCACGGCCCAAACATTCGAGAACAGAGCAGGAAGGTAAGGCGCAGCGACACCACATGGCGTTAGTAGAACAGCCCGTGGAGGCAGGGCTTTCCAGGTATGGGGTTCAGGCTTGTCTTTGCCTGGTTGCAGAGTGCCAGGCGTCCAACTGATGCTTGCAGGGCTGCGGCGTTGGCAGGGGTGTAAGCCATCAACTAAGGGCTATGTACAGACACATAGGGATGTATAGGGTTGTGTATGGGGTTCAGGATGTGGGGGCTCTTGTGGGTTTTCAAGGGTTGTGGGGGTTTTGTAGGTTAAAAAAACACTAAAGCTCTCAAACCCCTACTTTGGCCTCACAAGAAAGTAGAATCCAACAAAAATGACCATCCACATAATTTGGGGTTCAGGAAGGTGTTCGACAGGCTAAGGGGGTTTAATTGTTTCCGAGGTATATGGGCCAGGGTTTAGCTGGTTGAGAGGTATGGGGGTTAGGTTTACTGGCATATGTGTTTGGGAGGTTTAGGATTATTGGACTCAAGGTTCTTAATTCGTTCATGGGTCTTTGCGGTTGTGGCTTCAGATAAACCAATCTTTTTTTCATGCTGGTTCTTCTCATTGTTATCATTGGATTGCTACGACCCGATCGGTAGTTTGTAGGAGCCGGCGCTTGTGTATGAATGGCGATCGAAAGTCCTTGCTGTCTCAGGAAGCACGGTATCGAGTTCGAGAAGTCCTCCCGGTTTTCGGCAGGGAAGACCGCAATGAGTCTATGAAAATTATGGAATACCTCCTTGATTTTTGCACAACCCCTCATCAAAGTTCCCATGCCCCTGAACCGGGTAGGTTTGAACACATTTTTTAGAGTATGTTTCCCTTAAGCATGCTTAAGCCGTATTTATAATAACTCTTACGAAGCAATACAAATCAATTTTTTGTAGGGCCCCCAAACCTACCCTAGTGCACGGTTTGCCAGGTTTGCTCTGTTTGCATGGTTCCTGTACATCCTACTGGACCCTCTTCACTGCATGCATAGTGCCCAGGTCAGGTAGGAAATTAAGAAGAAGGCTACAGCAAAAAGCAGACCAGCTTTCGGAGATGACAGTATTCATGAAGTTAGAAGAAGTTTAGCAAAGCAATGATAATTCTGTAGACGGCAGGTATCGTACTGCATGAAGCTCGACCTTTCCGACACCCAGGCAAGGCGACGTCTTTCCTGCTGCCTTGCTACCGATACCCCTGTTGTTGTGATATGACGTGATCGTCGTCCCGTGATCAAAGGCGTGGTCAGAGTCATGTTGTTTTTGTCCTGTTGTCATGTCGTCGTCTTCTTCGTCGTCGTCGTCGTTGTGGTTGTTGCTGCTGTGGTGGTGGTGGTCGTCGTCGTCGGCATCGTGGTGCTGGTGCTGGTGCTGGTGCTGCTGGTGCTGTTTTTGCTGGTGCCGTTGGTGGTGATGCTGGTGTTGCTCGTAGTGCTGTTGCTGGTGGTGGCGCAGCTGCTGGTGCCATCAGGAAAGGTTCCCGCATGTTCCCGCGAAGGAGGGATATAGTTTTGGTGATGGTGGCGGCGGTTGTAGTGGTTGATAGTAGTCAGTATTAATGGGGGATCATAGTTGAGAACTGAGAAGCATGCTGGTGCTGCTGCTGGTGCTGCTGCTGCTGCTGCTGCTGCTGCTGATCATGATGGCGACGATGACGACGATGATGATGGCATGATATGGCATGTATGAGGATTCTTGGCACAATTAGCGACAGCCTCATAAGCGATGGTGGTTCAGGATGGATTCTCGCAAGCCCCCACTCCGGGAACAGTCAATCCCAAGAAATCCAACATGCATATGTTTTTTGACGACCGCAGCTGCAGGCTGGACAAAGTGAGGATATTAGCTATGTTGGCTGCTAATGCTGTTGCACGGCGATATGTGCAACGTTAAAGGGTCGTAAAGTATCACCCGCCGAATCGGCAGTCATACTGAGGCATGAATGTAGGATCTGTTACGAACTGCTCTGTCATCAGGGTTCTGAACACGCTTTTGCGATACAGGACGCGGAGGACTTGGCCGTGCTGGGTGCCTAGATTTATCGAAGTCCGACACAGTCCGTGGCACCTGAAATGAAGCGTTCGATCTCGTCGGCCACTACAGCAATTGACTGTTGCAGCATAATCCCTTCCCATCTCTTTGCTTCCCGCTGGATAAACGGGAGCTCCTGCTCTGGCCATGATTGAGGCTGTTGTCAGAGCAGATGCATATTGGGCGGATGTAATGTAGCTAAGCTCTGTCTCAGAGTCTGCTCTAAAATGCCCCAAATGGAGCAACATACCAAAAAGTGTCCCCTTAAGTGAAAGCTTGCAACTACCAGGACTTTTTCTTGTCACTCGTCTGTGCACCCTTCGACCCTTCAGCCATTGCAAAGCACCAAATTCTCCACGTATAAAGATCCATGTAATAACCACATCCAGGTATTCGGCGCGTACGGAACAGCTTCCCTCCGCGCGCGTGCCAAAGAAGCTGTCGAGGCCCAGGAAATGGAGTTCCAGGTGTATAGTCCCCCTTAAGTAGATAGAATATGGGGTATATGGGGATCTTATTACAATATACCCAAAGCCATATTCTATCTACTTAAGGGGGACTATAGGGTTTTAGGTTTGCCTCATAGGGTTCAGAGCGAGAGCACTGCGCCCGTCTAGTACGGTACACGTGCACCGAGAGGCAAATGGGTTAGTTTTGTCTGTGCCGTGTGTTTGCCGCTGCCCACAGAGAAAGTTGACTCGGGGCGGCCTCCAAAGTCAGGGTATATATGGGATATAGGGATATCATAATGGAGAATCAAATGGAAAAGAAAATGGAAAATGAAATGGAAATCCTAGGTCCCCTTTAAAAGGGGTTATATAAGAGATATTATCCCCCAATAATGGAGAATCAAATGGAAAAGAAAATGGAAAATGAAATGGAAGCTGGGGTTATATAGGGGATTATATATAAGCATACCTGAAATCTGGAAGTATTAAAAGGATTGTCATAGTCTGGCTGGAAGTTGGACATGAACGACTTCAGCGCGTTGCAGAGAATAGGCCAACGGCTTTTCTTAAAGTGACAAAACATGTACAACTTCCGAGCTTCAAGAGTTGCGGGCATTTTCCGAGCCAAAGTTTGCGGACCCTCAATTATCTTTGATTTCCGGAGCTGTTTGACTGACAGGCCCCACGCATTCCTCGAGATGCCGACCCCGGCTGCTGTAGGCATTCTGGGAGAGGCCACGGAACCCTGTCCTAGAACTGAAGACTTGAACCTGGCACCAACATACCACTGAGCTTCAAACGCCTTACTTTGTCGGGCAGCTGGACTTGAGACATGCCACATTGAGCCTTGAAAGGCGAACGCGGAAGTCATGGACATGAGCGTGCCAGCTCGCATCCCACATTTTCAGCATTTGAAGTTTGCAATGGCCCAAGAAGAGACAAGTCCGAAAGATTTGATCAAATCTCAGAACTCCCCCGTGCGGGCTGTGCTACGCACTGGTGCTTGCCTCCTCGCAATAAGGCATCACCGCGCAATGACGGAGAGGCCTGGGAGGCCAGGGAGTCAGATGAATCATCCAGGGTACCAGGCCAGTTTCAGTATCATGGATCTTTCGCACAGCCCGACGTATCGCCTTGGCCGGGCTGTGAAAGGATGTGCGCGGTAAGATTTTTTCCTGGTCAGGACGACATACAGGAAGGGATCCTGCCAGGCCCTGTAGTAGTACCTATACAATCAACAAGATTACAGAAAGTGTCCATTCTACGTTGCAGTCCTTCATCTCTTGGGTGCCTTGACCTTGAGTCAGACCTCGAGACCTTGCCGAGCATAGTTTGCCAGGCCGGGCCGGCGCCTGGACCACCGAACCGCTATGCTGACAAGGTGGGGAAAATTTGGGTTTCCGCATTGGAATCAGAGTAGATGAGTCACAAACTGCGCTGTTCAATGGGGTCTAGACAGCTGTCCAGAGACTGCAAGGATCTCTATCTATAGAATCTACACCAGTTTGTGTTTGCAGAATTTTCAGATTCACTTGCGGCTAGGCACAGGGGCTCTCTCTGGCGGAGCGGCTTCTCCAGCTCGACTTCTCGGACGACGAGGATGGGTGGCTTGTGAACATGGACCGGGTCCAACATCTGATCTTTTCTTTAACAGACTGGTTCTTGCGAGATCAAAATGTCAGGATGAGGGCTCTCAGCCAGCTAGCCGGTCGCTGAGCATTCTTGCGGCTGTTGACGGTCAGGGACCTCACGCTTTCCCCAATCATGAGGCATCCCGGGTCAACAAGAAGAATAGGGCGTCTGTTCTGTGGGGAGGGCGAAGCCACCCTACCAAAGAGTTCACCCGACCCGCTTGCTCCACACGCCTGCTCTATATGATGCTAACCACGTAGTGGATCAGGGCCGCATAGATAACATGGCTTTAGGCCGTTTTGCCCCCAGACGTTGATCATCATGCAGGAAGGCGGATGCTTTCTGTCGAAGTAGGAGTCCGAGGCTTGCGTTGGCGCATTGAAAGATCCTGGGTTGGGTGTAGGGGGTATTGCTTGAATGTATTCTTTATGACTTTATGATCAGCTCTATAAATCCATCCATACTATTGAGCCTCCGCGAGACTCACAGAACGTCGGATTAGGTTATGAAGCTTGGTTAGCAAAACATGTCGTGGCCTAGGCCCGGAGCATCCAGAACAGGAGGCTCGCAGCGGTGCAAGTTCCTTGGAGCCACGGGAAGAGCAGGAAGGGAACAGAGAGTTCCTTACGAGGGTGAAAATGTGCGGAAGTAGCATCGACGTGCAGCCAGCTTCAGGTCTATGTTCTGTGAAGGTAGCTTTTTTGCATTTCTCTCCCATTCTGTTCTTAAGGTGACAGCGAGAATTTCATTTCAGAAGGTGTGCTGGCTCTACGTGATGTTTTATCTGTCAGGGCCATGCCCAGCTTGTGTCCAACTAAATCTGCGCCACCGTCCTTCGTCTGCAGAAGTCCCTCAAATTGTCCTGCATCCACGCTCCTTATGATGAGATAAATCGAGTGTCACACTGGGGTCAGGCTGACGGCTTGGACCCCGTCGCAGAGGAGGACCAGGAAGTGCCGCCTCCATGTGCTTGGCACGACATGTTGCAGCTGACGTCTGTCCTCAGTATCGTGCAGGGATGGTCCAACTGTTTAGTTCTGCGAGCTGACTTAAACCGTGAATTGGTGGACAGGACGCCTCGGCCGCAGTTGTCGTCGAAGACTGCCAAGAGTTCGTCCAGGAGAGGTTGTGCATACCTTGACATCATTACAAGACGCGCAGTGGGACTTGGTTGGACATCTTGGCAAATAGCTTTAACAAGTACCATATTGGGTTTCTCGACTTTTGTGCAGCACAGGATTTTTGTCGATCCCTTGAGTTTTCTGGTGTAATCCTATACCAGGAGGCTGACAGTGATGATGACTGACAACAATGTCCCATTTCTCCAGCGACGGCCGAGACCTCAGTGGAAATCAGCCTCGCAATCGGTGTTTGTGGAGCCTGAAAAGTAGCAACTCCAAATTTTTCTAGAGAGCCTGAATCTGA